TATTTTTCTACTATTTACATCCCTAGCATCGTGTTGGTTAGCTGAACTTTGATACGCCCCCTGAGGTAGTTGCTGCGTGAAGGATTTTTCTTCTTATTTTTTATGTGAAACGATTTTCTCCGTTCTTGTTGGTGTCGGTGGCACTTGACAAGGATAACAACGCACAGGACAGGAGAACGCCAAACGGACGGCAGCAATCCACTTCCACTTGATGTCGCATAAATTTGTGCCTTGCTGCTGCTGCAGTCAGCGTAATGCAAGCTGAAGCAATGGCTTATGTCCTGTCTGGTATCCTTACGTCCTTGCAGTTTGCTGTGTGTCGTCTCTGTTGCGCACGCTCAAATTTATTTACATTCCTATTTATTTTGCCACTTTGCAATGATTTGAAGTTCTACAATCCCCCATCATTGGGTCCTTTCCAGCATCGTTCAGGTTGTCAAGCGCTTGCACCAGAAATGGCAGTTGAAGCTGCCAAGCTGCGATTGGCTCTGAAGGAAACTTAGAGGTGTCTTTACAGGACTTGGAATAATTCTAATGAAACTGACATGTTGTTGAACTGAGTAATAAGCATAATATAAATTGATATAAGAGTTTAATTTTGAATTGAGATTGCGAGGTACGGGAATCTTCAATAAGCGGAACAATGGCAAACTAGATATCGAGGTAAACAAGATGTAGATCTTTTCAAAAACATGGCTTACTTTTTGAATTCAGTGTGCACACTGTGGCATTAGCTGATCTTAACTCATGAAAAATTATAACCAGTTGTGCACAGCATATCTAAGCAGCTTGATTGGCTGGATGGGTAATAATTAGTTGTATTTCGTTTACATTTAAATATTGTCAGCCAAGTCCACGTTCACGTAGAGCCTGCTGTGCTATGCGCTAAAGGTTTAATTCAGCATGAACTGAAAAATGCATAAATACCATTTTAATTAGAAAATTAGCTGGAAATATGCAGCTCACGTTAATCGCATAGCACTGCCTTCGCTCCATTGCTGCAAATATGAAAGTGGAGCTGGCTCGCGATGCGGATTCGGTGTCGAGGTTAGGGTTGAGGTTGGGGTCGGGTTGGGAGACGGAGTCAGAGTCGGGAAACAAAGCTCATGCAATATCCAAGAGATGCGACAACAAATGAAAGCCAACTGACTGCTGCATCCACTCCATTCACTGCCTCTGCAGAGTGTCCTGGCCTCATTCTCATCCTGACACACGAAAATCATTGCGACACTCTACGCTCTACGGTTACGGCTCGGGCTCCGGAGAGTTCGACTCTGCTGTTTGTTGCGACAAATGCCGTTATAATTATTTATACCGTAAGCACATTTTATGGTGTCGCAATTTTAAAATGCAATTAGACGCGCAACTCTATGAAAAAGCCAACACAGTTGCCCCAAAACATTCAAAATACACAGCACTCAAGAGTCTGTGAACCATAAAATACCCTGCGACTATATAGTTGAACATACAAGAAGCAGAATACAGTTAAACACACCGTTGAATTTGCTTATACACTTAAAGAAAACAAATAAGTGAATTTGCACAACACTTTTCGTACTTTTCGCTGCTTAAAACCTTCAGTTCTGACAGGACAACAAATGAATTTGACAGTTGAGATTTGACATTCGCAATATCAAAATAATTTCGCCTTTAACTAGGTCTGTTATGCTTTCATAATATATACCATAGTTGTGTACAGGGTATTAAAAGTCATTGAAATAATATACAAATAGAACGATGCTCGTTACGGGCACAGACAAATGTAATTCTTAATGGGGTTTTGTCATTTGAGCGTCGTACCCAAAATTGTATGTATGCAAGCAGCTCACTCACACATCACCCCATCAGCTCCTTTTTTATACATCCACTTGCTCATTCCCAGCTCACCTGGCTTATTAGTTTTGGGCTCTTATTGAACAGTCGCGCGCCTTGCGCTAGGCAATATGCATTTTTCGATTCGGGCGTATCGAATTCAACGAACAGCTGCTGTTCGATTTTTTTTATTGCAAACACATATATACACTCATATTTTGTGATTTTCTTATTTAGCAAATCGAGCTAGATACATATATTTATATATAGAATACCTGCCTGATTTCGATTCATGTAGTTGTGGCATAATGAAAGTTTTGCCATATAAATTTGCATAAAACTTGGCTCACATATGGTTAAGAGGAATAAAAGGCAATATGCGCCAACTGTTGAAGCCAGTGCAATATATATTTATTCCGAATACTTTTAAGCATACAGCATAGGCATAATAAAATATTTAAATAATTTCCACTTGTTGAGAAGCTTTCTTTTTTACATTTTTCTTAAAGTAAGCACTTTACAAAGAAATTCATTTAGTGTTTTCCTTCTTCACAATATTCGATTGGAGTATCGGATTATCGGCTGCGGTCGTAAACTATTTGCACCAATTATCTTGGAAAGTTCATTTCGATGCCTTTGGGGAAATATGCGGCGAATTAATACAAGTTTATAGAGCCAACGAGCTGAGCACCCCCCAAGAAAAGGGAAGCAAAATGAACACTCTAAGTTGGCAACCCTTTGGACCTTGTGCCGAATGAGTCTTTGGTAAGCACAAGTTTCGCTTAATTTATAACGAGGATTACAATAAACAAACTAATCTACGGCAATAAACACTAAAAATCCCCCAAAGTGTTGGCCATCCATGCCATGCTCCTTGGAGGGGAGAGTGCGGACCGGCAGCTGGAATTGAGCATTGTCACCACTACGCCATTGGCCAACGTCTTTTTATAAGTTAAATCGCTGCAATCCTTTCGCCTTTTAAATATGCCATTTCCGCAGCGAGATTATTTTTCGATATCGCAAACGTATGATTCGAGATGTTTACGAGTGTCCAGTGCCCAATGTCCAATGCCCAATGTCCTGTGCTGGATGCGTTGGCCGACCAGCAGATAGGCATCGCGGTTCAGTTCTCCGTTCCCAGTTCCCATTGTCCTTCTACCTTTCCAACTCCCAATAGGGCAATGGAATTGTCAGCAATGGGCGCTTGAGTATACAATGTGCGTGCTTCATCCGCCTCGATCCTTTTTTTCTATTAACAATAAATTTGTACGATTTTTATTAGACCGCAAATAACACGTGGTCAAATACGGTTCATTGATGACCATTCAAAGGTACAATGGAGAAGCAGATATTAGCTCAGACAATTATTAAATTGTTAATCTAATTCAATTTGCTTCAGACAGTTGAGTAATATTTTTAACTGTTAATTAACTGAATAGTTGAATGATCATAAATTTCAAAGCCCCATTTAATAAATAATTAACAAATGTAGTGAACATTTTAAAAGAAACATACGTTTCAGTATCTCTTCCTATATCATTGGTATTAAATCAAAGACAAACCTAATGGACTGGGTGAGTGGTGGTGGGGTGTGGGTGTGGGTGTGGGTATGGGGACTGAGTGGCAGGGTATAAAAGGACCACAACAAATCGACAACAAACGGGATGCGCGTGATGCCCGAAAGGATGCCATTAAGGACAACGGTTGCAATCGTTAGTGAAGCCATTAGTTTGTAGCGCCAATATGCGAAAATCAAAGGCACACACACAACGGCCAAACAAACAACAAACAAACGTGTCCAACTGCAAAGACAACCCCAAATGTGGCCAATGTACTCGCACTCGCATTCGTATGTTGCTGGTATGTTGTATAATTGCAAGTGCGCAGCTTTGGAAAAATGCGACAGATATAACATAAAATAACCTAAACCGGACAACGGGGACAGCGGACAGCAAAATGTCCATCTACCACTAATGTGGCCGTGCGTTGAAACTGATGCTGAGACACAGACACAGGCACAGACACAGAGTCACGGAGGACATCACGACAATGGCCCGGCAGCAACGTAACAATAACAATAAAACAAAGAGCGGCCTCTGCTAAAAAGGAACACGGGTAACTGAAAATAATTTCTGTGATATTATCACAGTGGCGGGGAATGCTGCTCAGATGTCCCAGGCGCGATATGTGCAAAGTCCGGTAAAAGGAGCAGCCGCAGCCAGCAAAACGGAGATTCACATCAACATAATGTCTACTTTACAATGTGGATAAAGACGCCCGAAGAAAACGAAATCACATTCATATCGAATGTAACAGCCATTCGGCCTTAGACTGTCCTCGTCCCATTTGGACGACCCACCTGACACCAGTCTGCCCAAATGTGTATCCTGTCCAGTCCAGTGCGGTCCAGTCCTGTCTGGCCGCTGACCAACCCCCTTTGGGTGCACATTCACTGGACGCTCGCACGCCACGTTGCAATAAGTTACGGCTGGCGGCCATTACGCCGTCATGCTAGCGGCAAATGGTGGCCCGGACAATAGAGAAAAAGAGGGAGAGCGAGAGAGAGAAAGTCGCAGCCGGAGACAAATCCGAAATCCATACTCGTAAACAAATGCAACTAATCGCCGTTCATGTTGAACGTGTTCACAGCTAGGCAAACCTGAAATTGTGGCTACACCAAATCGTGCACCCAGCATCCTCCTAGCTCAGTACTGCCTCGCATCCAGCTCGTGCTCCATATCCAATGATCATTGTACGGGCTTAGCGCTGATTCCAATTCTGATGGTTATCGCGCTTTATGCCCAAGGTCTAAAACTACTCGAAGGCACTTTTAAGTCCTTGGGAAACAGCTCAGTGATTAGTCCATTTCGCATGTTGAGAGAGTGACTTGCAGAGACTTGCAAAAATTACAATTTTGAATGTTGCATTGGAGTACCTTACTTCTTTGTACGATAGAAGAATAAAGAATAAAATATTATAATTTTGTAGCATCCAGCGTTCAGAGAGAAGATCTGGCAAAAGAGTTATTGCATATGCTATATGCGGAGTGCGGAAATAAACATTTTAACTTTTTTTTTTTTAAGTAGGCTTTGAAATTGAATTTAAAATTTTTTGAAAAAATGTAAATATTGTCTGTTGACCGGCCATTTCTATTGAATCATTCTGGTAACAGGCTTTGTAGCAGAAGCAGGTTACAGTGGTCTGTGGAAACGAGAATTTACTTTGTTTGTCGAGTGTTTTTCGCAGGAGAACTTTACTTTGTTTATCAATTGGGCGCCAAATTTTGAAAATGGTAAAAGTGAAATAGGCATAAAATATGTATGCCTTTGTAAGGCCGTGATGCATCGTGCCGTTCAAATTAAATTATTTAAAAAACATGCAACTTTGTGGTATTTTTCTTACTTTTTTTTTTGGGATGTGGACGCACTCTGCCGTATACATATATAATATTTAAAACTTATATTTATAACTATTTTATTTTCCACATTACATTTTTTTTTCAGCTCGCGGAAATGCCTCCAATACAATCGATTCCTTCAAACAGACGAAAACGACCGTTTGGTTTAACAAACAACTTACAACTTGACGAAAGACCAGACTTTCAGGTTCAAAACTTGCAGTCAATACAATCAATACAATTCGTACAATCGTTTGGATGTTGTAGCGATGAGAATTTATTCGGTGAAACTATAGATCGACCCCCACTGGAGACTCTCGGCGAGTTGGACATAGATCGAGAGCAATGCGAATGTATCATACAACGGAAGGAGCAGCTAAGAAGGTTCCGCATAAAGAGTAAGCAGATGGCAACGAAGCAGTTGGCTGGTGTCGCTAAACACTCTGCCATTGTCCCTGAAGTTATGGAGATATCCAGCATGCATAGTCCGAATTTGGAGGTGCCAATTGAGGTGGATAAGCGGCAGTGTCGAATCATTTGTCGGTTGTCTCAACACGACAGCAAAGGCACAATGGCTGATAACCAAAAGAAGCTAGAAAATATAAATGGCAAAAAGTTTAACATCATATATAAGGTAATAGATATATCCTCGGACGAATCCAGTAAAGACGATGACTACACAGGGAGCAGTAGTTCCACAAGTGAGGACCCTAGAACTCCGCGGCGTACCAAACGGTTATCCAAGCTCAAGAGATTTTATTTGCGACATAAGTTTCAGAAAGTGGAGCATATAAATCACTTGAAAACAGAACGGGATCAAAGCTTCAATAAAGCCACTGGAGCAGAACCATTAAGAAAATGTTCAGCAAATCATCCTGTAAGGGCGACGGAAACGAATATTAAGGAATTGGATCTGTATGAGCTGCACAACTTTGCAATCAATTTGGATTTCAGTAAACTAAGTGAGTTGATATAGAAATTGATTCTGAATATTAATTATATATATTCATTTATATATATGCTGATATACTAATTATCTGTATCTTTATCTGTTTATCTTTTTCTTAGTCAAATTCAGTGATATCTTAGAAGAGATCGAACGCATGGATGTGAAGGACAGTAACCAACAGCACAACAAGGTACACACTCACGCCAAGGATATCAGTTCTAATCTGGCTGCAGCCAAATCATTTCGACCAGAACCAATTCAACAAAACAGAAATTAACACACCTCTCCCCTTCCCTCTTGGGCAATAAAAAAAATTGAGAATTTCCAAACATTGAACGCTTCTAATTGCCAACTAGGCTGAGGTCCAGGCCGACTGATGTTCGTCTGCCTGTCTGCCTTGCCTGCCAGAACGGACATCGATTGCCAAAAATATGAATGCCATTTGCCTCTCTCTCGCTGAACAATCAACCCATCCTTGTGGCTGTTGTTGCAGTGGTGGCTGTGGCACCGCGGCATGTCAACACACTGTGTTGTTCCCGTGTGGTGGCTGGGTGAAATGTTAGCTGGTTGGGACTCCCAATTCCAATCAACCACAGCGGACACATCAACATTTCGTGCGCCGCCAAAAGCTTGTTCTAATCCAATCAAATCTCAAATGCGGTTGTTACCCAATTCGTTTGGGGAGCGACAACAACACAATTGTACAGTGGCATCAATTTCGTACTTTTTTGTGCACAAAAGAATTCACAAAGGAACAGCATCAGTTAAAGTTGCGTATTTATGTTACTAATTGCTATCAATACAAACGCTGGTCAACACTACAATTTCCATTTGGTTAACGTTAGCAAAAAATTTAATATATTACTATGAAAAAATATGGGAAAACTAAGATCATGATTTCCTGGTGTGATGATTTTCCTCTTGGAAAATATTGTTTTTTTTTTTTTGTTTTTAATCCAAATAATGGATAGTTTAGGTGTTCACCTATTATTTAACTTATTGAATGAACTCTGAATGAATCTTGTTAATATTTTTAACTATTAAGAACTCTACAAAACACTTTAATATTATTTTGAAAAACTTTGAAGTTTCGTCAATATATCGACATTTGGTGTACCCATAACTTTATTTACTTATCGAAAAAAAAAACATTTTAATACTTTACTTAACTTTTACGTTAATTTATTTCTTATAATATTATAAGTTTTTCCACAGTGCCACATAGGCTTTCTCTATTAACAATTGTGTCCCAGCCACAGGATTTATCTGGCCGTCGAATTGTGGTTTATGGGATGTGAGTTCGTTGGCTCGCATTCAGCAAGGATGTCAATGAAAACGCCAGCAGCGAGTGTAGTGAAATAAATGCCAGCTAATATTAGTAAATTAAAAAGAAGCACTTATTACAGATACCGTAGCCGTTACAAGTTCCCTAATGAATCATCCATTCAGTGGAACAAATCGGTGTCAATGCAATGCGAAGCGAAGCAATTGTGACAGCAACTCGAACAGTAGGGGAGAGTATCATCATTAATAATACAAATACAAGACTCATTCGTAGTCCGTGCATCAAAAGTCGCCACTTTTATATTCTAGAAGCATTGCCTGGGCGATGGTCATAATTGAAGATCTGTGGGCTCACATAGGTGACAATAAAATAAATGCCATTTACTGATGACTCATCAACATAATTTTTACGATTCGCCCCCCATTCAATGAATAAACAAATAAACCCGAGCAGAACTAACCTGGCTTCAGTTACTGACAGCATATTGGAGGACTAGTTTGAGCGTGTCACGAAAACATTTCGCATGCATTGACTTTTTATGGCAGTCAAACAGAGGGAGAAGGTATGTATGTGTGTGAGAGAAAGAGAGAGAAATAAAGCGAAATCATTTAGTGGAGCTTCCACACAGCAAGAACTCAATCTGTCTCTCTCCCTCTCTCATTCACTCTGTGTGAGTCCTCAGTCTGGAAAGTCATAAAAATCCGCACCGAATGAAATTCTCATCAAGTCGCCAGTTGGTACAATTTCATTTGGCGCTAAGCAACTGAACACGGCCAAAATGACCCGGACCCCTACTCGGACTGGATATTTGTGCGTGTTCTGGTCACGGAACCATAGCATCAGCAGCAGCATAAGTTTCTGGCTCTCGTCCTAGCCAGCTCGGCAATCGCGCGTGACTAACGTAATCAGCTCACGTAACACTGAATGAGATGAGATGAAATCAGCATACACTCAGACTGCATAAATAGCGAATTTATACCAAAGCTGTATGTTCAGACCTCATTCTAGCTGCTGCTGCTGCTGCTGCTGCTGCTCTGGAGCATCATTCAATAGAGTTCGATCAGCAACACGCGATACAATCATTGTCATCCATTCCAATTCGCTCTCTTTTCCCTGCAAGAAATCCTCCATTTAACGATCAACCAAACATGTCGTTTAACATCGCAATTATCGATATTTTAAGAACAAATTTGAAGACAAAATATTTATTGTATTTCCCTGTATTTAATAGTACGCACTTTAAGACAAAATATTTCTTAATAATTTTTAAAGTTTTACAATTATATATTATTAGCTTAAGAGAAAATCAAAAAGAAATGAAAAATGTAATTAAAAGTTTACAAAAATATGAACAAAACTTTTAATATTTAAATTCTTAAAAAGCCATTTAAGGATGTCAGTGCTAACTAATGCTATAAAAGTCGACATTTTATACAGAAATTACGCATTCTATTTAACTATAGATTGTGTCATTAGTAATAGGAACAAGTGACCCAAACACGCAATAGCAACAAGCTATTGAAGAGGTTACTGCGAAAACCGAATGTGAAAGGGCAAACATCACGCATAAGTTTCATTTTATTTTGATTTTTACGACTGGCCAAGACTGTGACAGTGCATTGCCGGGCTTGTGTCCCACCTGGATCACTTGGTAAATAACCAAGCGAAAGGCAACAAAAATCAAGAAAAAGTAGTCACCAAACGGCCAGGACGAGCATCGTATGGAATATGGGGGTGAGTTGGGGGATGAGTGGTTGGGGTGAGTGTTTGCTGTTGCTGTTGTTGTTGCTGCTGTTGTGTCCGAAAGAGAACTAAAGCAGAGAAAATGCCTATTTACGAGCTCGCATGCTGCTGGACACATGGTAATCATATATTTTGGTCATATCTGTGGACCATAAAACCAGTGTCCTTATGTGCCTGTCAATGAGTTGTTTCATGACATTTATTTCGCATGTACCGGTACGGTACGGTACGGTACGGTTTGGTTCGGTTTGGTTTGGGGATGCTGCGTGCAGATGGAAAATATTTTAGTGTCCATTTAATGTCCAATCTAAGGAGCTCGTAACTTTTGATCGAACAAACGAGCACACACACACATACACATACTCCACCCCCGTGGATGAAGGTAAGACTATAACCATTGCTCCATATATATAAATATATCAGTAGTTGGTTGCTGGTCAAGGGGTTCGAATGTGGCACGCAATCGAGTCTCCTGGGATAATACTTTAATTTTCTCACTGATGCGTCCTGAGTGATAAGTGGAAGTTATTTGCCAGCTATTTGGTTATTTTATTAGTGGATTTCTTTACCAGTCCCTCCACTCCCGTACCGAAAACCTCAATGCTGCTTGGACAGCACTTTATGGACAGCGCTTGGCTGGATTAGTTCAATTCCTGCGCTCACCGTCACTCATAAATATTTAATTAAAATCAAAATTAGTTTTTCGCATAACGTGTAACGCACCTGAGGCTTCTGGCTGGTGGGTAACTCAAGCGTTCTGTTTCCATCAAGTGCGGCCAAAAATGTCATGCCTGGTTATTGCAAATGCAAAACAGTACGAAAAGATGATCCCAGAACACGGGTTGGAATCTGGCAAGCAGGCTCGTTAAAAATTAAAACGCTTTCATCTTCGGCACGCAGATACTATATATACTAGTATACTCCACACGCCACATGTGCCACCCTCTGCTCCCACAATCCTCTCAGGCTTTGAGTTTCCACTTAGCTTGTGGTTTTCATTGGCGATTTAGGTGCAGGGCACACGCAATCCTCGCTGCTTGCATAACTTTTGACTTCACGGCAAACAACGGCGACCCATAAAATAGATTTACATGCGACGCCCCAGAGACCAAAACGACGATGACTAAGAGATGTAAACAGTGTGTTTTCGATGTGAATTGACTTCAGTTCAAGCAGCACCTGAAATTAAGTGATATGTCGACAGGCGAAAAAAATTTAAAAAAAAAAATACGAGTTCAAATCAAACTTCGCCACAGATTCATAAAATTCTATTCGGACTATGACAGACCCGTATAAAAATGTCAAAACACACACAAGAATTACTTAAATTTGAAGTATATTATATCGGTTATGTATAGCTGCTCAGCATGGCTGAGAGTAATTCAACAACAGGTTGGAATGAGATCCTCTTACCCATGGTCAAGCCAGAGAATTATTCAATTTAAATACTCGTCATCCGACATTGGCAATAAACGTGAAACTCCTTCGAAAAACAAAGCCAGTCGAGACAAAATTGACTCCAAGTGTCGAAAGGACGATTTTAAAGCAGTCCCAAAATATACCTACGAAATTACGCGCAGACCAAATCAAAGTCAAAAACCATCGAAGCCTTCCAAGCCAAGCCCCATTAAATTTCGATCCAAATGGCGCTACGGTTATAGTGTCTTTCTGGCCGGATTATGCTCGATGCTGTGGGCAGTCTATGAGCTGGGCAAACCGGAGCACGATCAGCGTGGACGCAGCATTGAGGATGAGCTGAGCTCGTTGCCGTTGCTGCAGCAATATGTGCAGCGTATGTGGCACTCGCTGCATTACTATCAGAAGATGCTGGAAGAGCCGGTGCCCACCAAGCTGGTGCCAGACATACAGCAGCCTCCGTACGTACAGCCACGCTATACGCTCGTGCTGGAGATGAGAGATGTCCTCGTCCATCCTGACTGGACATATCAGACGGGCTGGCGGTTTAAGAAGCGACCCGGCGTCGATCACTTTCTGCGCGAGTGCAGCAAACACTTTGAGATTATTGTCTACACTGCCGAGCAGGGCACGACCGCATTTCCCATTCTGGATGCCCTCGATCCGAATGGATATATACGGTATCGTTTGGTGCGCGGTGCCACACAGCTGCTGGATGGTAAGCACATCAAAAACTTGAATCGACTCAATCGCAATTTGCGGCGGGTAATTGTCGTTGATTGGGATTGTCAGGCTGTTCCACTGCACCCAGATAATATTTTTGCTATTGCCCGCTGGGTGGGCAACGATGACGATGTTCAGCTCTTCGATCTGGCAGCGTTTTTGAAACTCATTGCAGAGCATAAGGTGAGAAATGCTCATCCTCATTATCCTTATTATAAATTAAGTTTCTCCATCCTCCTGTTTTGAAGATGGAAGATGTGCGTGAGGTGCTGCACTACTATCACCAGTTCGAGGATCCAATTGAGCAGTTTAAGGAGAATCAGCGAAAACTGCTGGAAATGAAGCAGGAGAAGCCGGATGCCGAAACGGGTTGTTTGAAATAAATTATTATTCCTGTATTTTTGTATTATTGTAATATATAAAATATTCTTGATTTTAAGATGCTTATTATTTATTTCTGTTCTTACCCATTTAATTCAGCTAGATCCATTTCTGCTGTATTCAGAAAATGTGACTTTCGTTAGGCAAAGTCGCACTGAAAAATACCAGAAAATACAGATTGAAAATGCCAAAAATTGTGATGCTGTTCATTATGCAAATTGTCGTAGGCTTAAAATCCACAAATTGCATTGATGCACCACCCAATGAAATTCCAGCTAGATGAAGATGGGACAGATGGACAGTTGGATGACTGGATGTGTGGATGGTTGGATGGGTAAACAGATGTGTGAGAGCTTTGGTGTTATTATTTAAATGGCGCATTATCAGTGGCCAGCAGCGGGCTGGCCAGTCAGCTCGTCGACTTGTCATAAACAATCAAAATCCATTTAAAATCGTACATGCAATTTGGCCCCACCTGACATGGCCAGCAGACAAGGATGACGAAGGAGGATGTGGGGAATGAGATTGCCGATTCGCAGGCAACGACAACATCAACGCCTCGTCAAGTGTGTGGGCGGGACTGTAAATAGGGTTGAGGATGGGAGTTTTGGTGGTGGTGTTGGTCATTGGGCAATTGACAGTGCAGCAGCAGCTGCCTGCCAGCCAGCCTGGATCCATGGCCATGTCGACCATTTCCCGTTGCATGTCCTGGCCCTGTTCTGTGTATCGTTGATATGATAATTGGCATGAGGCAATAATCCACTTGGATACGTTTACGTTGACAATCGTTTATATCGCAATCAGTGTCATGCCGTCTGCGTCCTGGATTGTTGTCGTTCCAACTGGTCCGGCTGCTGTTCAGTCTACATAAAGTATAATTTCCAGCCGTTCTCTCCTCGTTGTCGACCTCTACGACAGTGGCAACGACAACGACAACGACAACGACGACGTATTAAATAACAATGAACTGCAATTGCCCAGCGAGTCTCGTAATTCGTTTGTAATGCGTGCAGACGCACAGATTTTGAGTAGCACTTGTGCCCCGCCAGTTGTGTTGTCCTGCGGTTCCAGTTATCCACACTCGACATATGATACACCCACCAAACAGATTCTCTGCCACCCATTCTCAATCTTTCCACCTTTCTCGTTGTTTTGTTTTATGTGTTCTCAACCGGCAATTGTCTCCCGTTTTGCGCACATAATTTCTGATTTCCAAGTTTAATTCGTTGACACTTAAATTTAATCACTGCTTGAAAACGTTCTCCAAAACGATTCATTTCCATTTGGCTGAAGAATTGGGAAACTAATCTTAATTATAATTGGTGATTAGATTCTTTGAAATCCGATATAATTTGTATATTTTTATAGCTGACCAAAACCAACATTTAAAGCTAATAAATAATTACACATTTTGTTGTTCATTAGAAATTTTATTACCGATTTATACTGGAATTCGCTTTATGCTTTAAGCTTTACCAGCAATACCATTTAGAAGGATTCAAGATGTGCTCTACAGTTTAGCACATGTGCCAAACATTATAAAATATCTGATTAAAATGCTTTACAAATCAGTTTAGCTAAATCATTTCAGAATAGTGCGAATAGGAACCATAACAAAGCTGAACGTTGCAGTATAAAATTATATTAGAAGAGTCGTCGCCAGTCCACACATGGACATAGCCCGCATCTAAAAAAAACCCACGCATACAAAAATGACCATTTGGAGGACACTTTGCGATGCAAAAAGCTAAATTTATGCGCAAAATGCTGCGATATAAGGTGAGTGCAGGAGGGAAAAGGGCAGCGAGAGGGAAGGGCAGGTCAGGAGTACTTCCTGACTGCAAGGAACGGCACTTTTACGCTTGACCTCACTCACAGCGTCCAGCGGCACGATGCTTAGCCCCTTGACCATGGATATATCCCTTCCGCAAGTGTGTGTTTGTGTACACTTGGAGAAATATATACATAAATGCTTTACAACATTAAAAATCGATAGAAAAAAAACTGCATCATTTTTTTTAAATATAATATTAAAAAATTTAGTTATCAGAAATATTATATTTTATGTGAGACTATTTCTAGAAAGTGAGCATTTTTGGGATTTGTATATATAAACATATTGCTTGACGATTTTCTAAATTCCTGCGCAGAGTTTTATTTTATTGTTTGGGTTCTTTTTGTGAGTGTGTGGAGAACCCTTACGTTGTGGCCAATGGTTGTGCGCTTTTTATGAGCGACGACACCACTTGCGATGAAAGCATTTCCGTATCCGCCAGCGTTTCCGAGCGCAGCGTACCCAAAAGCCCGAGCTGAGTCTCAAGCCGTGGCCAAGCTGGAGTCCACTTTAATTTTTGTTTTGTTTATAATTTACGCGACACAACATCAATTAAGTGCTTGGCCGGAAAAGCGTATACCTGCACCTGAAAAAAGCACCCATAAATTGTACCCCTAAAGTGGCGAACGCGTCGTCCTCACAACCTTCTTCCTCCCACGCCACCCATCTCCTGTTAACTTCGCCAGTTTCACGATCTGGTCCACCAGCTGCATTGGCCATTCGCTTAAATAGCTGTTGCCATTTTATATGCGTGCTTTTTTATGCTATACACAAATCATTTTCTTCAATGCATACAAGAGTTGCACCGCAAGTCAAGTATTTATCAACTTCAGGCAATAAAATTAAAAATATACTCAAATCTACAATAGCTATTTATTTATGTCGTAAGATACATTATGTATTTCTATATTTTTCATTAAGTTAGACCAATTTTGAACAATTCAATACAACACTTGGCAATGCTTGAGAGATGCTTCTTCATGAAAAATCAATTATCAACTTTCGGCTTTGGTTCCTCTACTCACAACAGAAGTAAAGGCAAAAGGACAAGAGACAGCTGAGCACCATGCTGCCTAATTGGAATTAACAGAAGAATTTATGGGGCAAGTTGGTGTGATTTGTTGAAGTGACATTACGATGCGGTAAACGAGCGACTGCTGCAAGTGCGACATAAAGTGGAGAATTAAAGTGAGTCACATTTGCAGACGCAATTTGTTACTCCCAAAAAGGACAAAAGGGACACTATACAGCAGCATAAACAAAACTCCAGACGGACCCTCACAGGCACACCCACCCATACATAAATACATATATACACACACACATATACATATACATAAAGATATGTACAGAAGTCCATTCACAGCTGCCACAACATTTGTCGGTAAATTAACCTGAAAGGCGGCATTTGCTCTAACTTACTTGTCTCATAAAACAGACAATGACTGGAGCGCAGCTCATCCTCGGACAAAAGTATTAATATATATTAGCAAATATCGGATTCGTTATCTTTTATATCTTTTTACTTAAGCAAACCCTAATATACATATTCATATTTGCTTACTCTACTAGTCCAAAATCTTATTTTTGTAAATTGATCCTTTTACGGTATTTTAAGCTTATACGGCTTTATATTTATATGTGTATAATGAATCTATCTGCAGATTGTACTGCAAAAACAAATCTTCGGTATACAGTCAAATGAATATAAATTGACACTCGCACTCGTATAATTAACTCATTTCATTCGCCGCCATTTTGTCTAGTCGCGGTTACAAAAATTGGCGACAATTATTTAGCAGGCAAATGGCATGCGAAAAATTAAATAAATGTTTACAGTCGATTGAAAAGTTTGGGTATATTCAAACTGTTTATGAGTATTGGCATACTAGAATGTGTGTAGTTTAATGGGTCTACGAGCGTGAGCATATTATTCAGCTGCAGCGCGCTGCGACAATCAAATGGTTAAATGAATGTTTTGCTGCACTCATCCATTTATTCACGCGCCATAAACTGAGGACGAATTTATTTCAAAGGACATGCGTTCGAACGTACAATAAAAATAATAAAATTAATGGCCAAACGCAAGTGATGGGCCAACCAGGAGCTCTATCCTTTGTATCCTGACTCGATTTCAATGTTTTGTCCACACAGGTACAGTAACAACAACATTGCACCGATGTGGTTACAGTGGTGCCTGAATTAAATATATATACAAATATATATATATAAATATATATGTTTGCGTATTCGTTTGTAAATTGGAGCCGCGGTCAAAATAATTTTAGCCATTTGCATTGCATTTGGGCCAGATTTTAGGAGCCAAATGCAGCTGTTACCCTGCAATGTGGCCGAATAGATTTACACAGCGAGAATTGCTGGGATACAATTTGGTTTCTTATATCAGCTACATAATCTTTACATTTTTAGTATGATTTATGCTGACTCTTTTATTTATTTTTATTTTAATGGGTACACAAGTATGAAATAGGAGAAGGAAGCAACTCCAATCCCATAAATGATATATATTTTCTTGATCTGGATAAACAGGGAAGTCGATCTAGCGTTTGTCATAAGGATCTCAAAAGAAGTTGGAGACTGATATGCTTAATAAATCTTAATTTCACGTATTGCCATCACAACTTGATTTTATTCAGTGTAGCCATTGTCATTGCCATTGCTATTTACGCGACAATTGCAATAAACATTAGTTCATTTGTATTGCGCTGCTGCCCCCCGGAATGCCCCCTTCCTGCAGTGCAGCTTCATCGTGTCGCTGGCACATTAAATTAATTACTCATGTTATTATTCTGGCCGAAATGAAGTACGCAACAATTTATAATCGCGACCAAACAAGATTAGAAGTACCTGCGGTATCCAATTCAAATCTACCCCTTAAACCACCACTTACCTCCACCTTCCCCTAAACCCCTCCACAAACATTATAGCATTTGGTTTACTGCAGTCATTTTGCTTTATTAGTCAAAATGCGCCAAATCAGAATTCCATATTATTCGCAATTGCATTCGAGTACTCCTCTGTTCGTAATTAACGTAAATTTATGATCAACCAATTTCAAAATAACTCACAATTTCCACTGTCCCTTGCACAAAATGCCAATTATGGTTAGGAGCACAACTACTTTAAACTGTGCTTATTTTTATTGTTTTACACAACTATCAACGATTAAGCTATGCTAACTAAAAAATCTGATTTGACCTTTGATCTAATTTTTATTAACAACCTTACACTAAGTAGGTAGCTTATTAAGCTTCTCAATCTGCATAAGATATACTTATCTATTTATATTCTTTCCACATCTCTTAAGCTTGAACACACATCATAATTACAGCTACTTATGAAGACCTCTTTAACGCGTTTGAAATCTTGTAAATTTGTGCACACAAGCCACGTGCTTATAAACAACATTAAAATGTACAACATAATTATGGGATAAATGGTATAAGTTGAACAGAGAATATATGCACTCAAACGGCAGCTTTAATTAGGCAGAAACATTTCAACCATTCATGGGGTGGGGGAATCAACAGGCGGCTGAATGCAACACAATCGCCTCGTAATGCATCCGTCCAGGCTGCAGCCGTGCCCTGCCCCATGCAACTGCTCCCTCATGCGAAAGGATGCCTGACGCCGGATGCGAACCCCACCCCCTCTCTCTCTCTCTCTCTCTCTCTCTCTCTGTGTATTTTGGCCAAATGGATGATTATGTTCAAAAGCATAGGCCAAGGCGCCTAAAACAACAACAAGCAGTCTCGGATTGGTTGAGTGCAACGAGGCGCATCTCCATTTATTTGCATCGAAAATTTGCACATGTTTAAATCGAGATTTACGATGGCGAGGTGACATCATTAATCAAGCGTCTGATTGGTGATCCTGTTCCTGTTAATTAATACAATAATGGATTGCACGCAGTCTCCAGTCTCCTGAGCCAAAGACGACGTCGACAACAAACCCTGCTGGATTTACTAGGATTTACGAGCCACACAAAGAAATGCGTTTAGGCGCCGGGCTGGAGTAGAAAAAAAGTGCAACAGCCGTGTCCAACATTGATTTAAAATTTACAACATTGAGGCAAAGGTTGGGCCAACAATGCCGTATGTTGCATTGATTTATCATTAGGAGGCAGCGGCTGAGAACACATGGCTAAAATGGAAATGTTGCAGCTGCTTCAACAACAGCAGCAGCAACAGAACCGGACACTAAATAAATTTACCAGTTGCCAACATTGGGGGGCACACTGACTAACCCACACACTGCACACACTCACACACACACACATACACACACAAATTTCAATTAACAATTTTACCCTTAATTTGGCCAAAAACAACAACGTCTAAAGAATATGGCTGCAGCGAAGGCTTTTGCTGAGCTGAGCTGAGCTGAGCTGAGTTCAGCTGTGCGATGAGCTGACAAACTAAATTACAATTTGAAATCCCCAAACATACCCCATTCCCCGCCCTGCGACCCAACCCACCTGCCACCACCTGACCACGCCAATTTAGCTGCCGCTCGAGCATCAATTATGATTATCGTCACGTTTTATGAGACGTTTGCCCCAACTTTATGACTGGGCGCCAGCTAGTCAAGCGCCCCCAAAGTATGCACTCTTATAATGAATATTGACAAAGGATATGCACAATATGTACACATATATACTTATATACTATATACACCTGTGTTGGCAGCCTTGCAAATCCTTTCTAAGTAGACATACATATACTACATACATGCCTCTGGCATATGTTTACTTATATTACTGAATTTATTCCTCATTTATTCATTAGTGAAATTAGCTACTACGTACAACGACTTGTTTATTAAGAATCGGGCTACATTTTTCGTAGGAGACGACTGTGATGCCAGTTGTTATTAACACTATGTTTTGGCTTAGAATCAGCTAATGAAATATTTTGTTTAATTTTTAGTCATATTAATGTGTACTCTAATCTCTCATTCAATCTAATTCGCTGCATTTATGGAAGTATACAATCTAATTAATCTTGACGTTCGTTAAGAATTCATTGATCTCAGCTAGTTTTTATTTGCTCCACGTTCAACTTATTGAAACGTTTCTTAATCTAATCTGGGACTGATTGTTAAGCGTCAGCAATTGCTTTGAGATGTGAGCACAGTTGCTTTTAATTGTGTGCACCAAAAAATAATAAGCAGAAATTAAAACGGGGTAATGGGCATGATGACGACAGGGGGGGACAGCAGAAGACAGTAGAAGTCAAGTCGCAATTACAACTGGCAACAAACGAAATTTCAATTAGCGGCACTTAGCGCCAGCTGCCATTACCTAAAATACCAACCAACCCAAGTCGCAGTCAAAAACAACAACAAAAAAATATCTAATAACAACTAAACGATATTAGGGAACAAATTAGATGCGAGGGGCAAGAGGGGAGCACACAAATTGAATGGCAGCAAGTGCAGAGAAACCGCAGGCGAAGAAGCCAAAGCCGTCAAAAGGCGAAACTTGGATTTTGAATTTTTGGTTTTTTGCTTGCCACACATTAGGCAAAAACAATTTCATTTTGCAAATTGTTGTGTTGCATTTGCAACCAGCAGCAAATTGGCCAAATCTTTTTTGCAGCTAAACCAGCAAAACTGTGAAGTGATTTCCTTGTAATTGGCTCCCAAGTAACCAGACACTAAGTACTAAGTACAAAACACTCACACAGCTCCATGTATGCCACCATTTACTAAATTGTAACTGCGGATATGCAAATGGTTTGGTTAGGCAATCCAGCTAAATGGCGAACTAATTGCATTCAAAACTGACAAAAATTTAAAAAAAACACAGTTTTTAGCATAATTACCAACAGACTAGAAAACAGTTGAACAATTAATGTAATCAAATTGTTTCGTTTAGCGAGTAAGAATCTAAATTGTTACTAATTGGTATTTGACTGTGATATGTGAAAAAATAAATCTATTTAAGTAGGTGTCGATAATGTTTTTTTTTTTAACTTTTATACAAAATTAAAATTTCACTTATGAAGCAAAACTTTTTACTGCGCACCTTGCAACCTAGAATATAGATCATTTTTAAAACAAATACAATTCAAATGCATTTATTTGTTATACAAGTTAATTTTTTTGTTTGTTTTTTTTTTTTTTTTCCCAACAAATAAAACTTTTGGGCAAACATAAAAACATTCCATGCCATTACACAAATCCAACGCATCCTTTATGAGTGCTGTAAACTATTGCACTAGAAAGAGATGGAGAGAGTGAGAGAGTGAAATGGGTGCCGAGTATTTGGATGATTGTCGAGTATGTGAAACTTCTTGAAGATAATAATAATTTAGTGCTGTTGAAATGACTTTTGACCATCACACACAATTGATACGACCAACCGACCAACCAACCAAACCAGGCCAGGGCAGAGCAGGAAGCTCACAAGCTTAGACTCAGGCTCAGGCTCAGCCTCAGCCTCAGCCAGGTTGACAGAGACAGGGATCTGGGCGGCACTGCAGCTGTGCCTGCACATTGTCTCTGTAGGTAACGGCGACGGAGATGTTTCTAGAATTTACTTATCTCTGTGTGTGTGAGTGTGTGTGTGTGTGTGTGTGTGTGTGTGTGTGTGTGTGTGTGAGCGTGTGTGTGTGCGTGTCTGTGCCCGCTCAAAGCTCAGAGCGCGAAAATGGGAGGGCGCCTGTCGCCTTTCTCTTGTGGTTTTTGTTCTTGCGGTTGTTGGATCATATGGCATTTGGGTTTCTTTCTGTTGGTAAACGCTGTATGTCACTACAGGTCGCGATTGTTGCGTGATGGCAGGATTGCAGACAATTGCAGACAATTGCAGACACGGGTGTTGTGTGCATTGGATCGCAGACAGAGTCAAAGGCAAATAGTCAAAAATGAAAACAAAAATATACATAAATCTCAATTGTATTTCGAGTGTCAACTAAATTCGTTGCAGAATTCTTGTCCACTTGCTGCAAGAGGCGTACTCTGGGGTGCCCATGCAATGTCTGATTTCCGCCACCAGCCAATGAGCCCTAATGACGGGCGTCGATCGGCCGGGGAATGTACGCGAGGATTGCTTCGAATGCGGACAGGCGATGTGAAACGGTATTAGCTGGATACGTGCATCACCTCCCACTGGCAATCGTCCTGCAGGCGGTACTGCAAGCGATCTGCAATCTGATTCATGCCAATCTTTAGAAAGTCCCAGCGCAGTGACTTAATTTTAAAGGCGGTGCTTTGGAGAAAGTGAGGAAAATGTATACTTTATGATTGACGGTGATTGATAGATAGGACATACAAAGTAGGTGGACGATGTAGCGGCTCTCCGGACTCCATAAAATCCTTAAGGAATCGATCGTGCTTTTCCTTAAGCTCTTCATAGTTCGACGGCCTGCCGGTGCGGAATATAATGGCCCGGATTTGGGCCGGCAGCTCATCCTTTTCCCAATAGAGATCCAGCTCGGACTCGGGCAGCTGGACGGCGCTGGCGCCAATCAGACGCACCTGCCAGATGAGCGGTCTGGGTCCTTGCGACGGCAACATTACCCTGGGGAATAGAAAGGTAATGGCACACTTGTTATTCGCTTTCAAGTTCTTGCAACTGCGTGTGAACTGCTGTGTGGCGTAGGTCACGCAGTCATCCTCGGTGAGTCCTCGAAAGAGCACGGTGCGATTGAGAACACCGAACTCCTTATCGACGGTAGCCAGATTCATGGCTTGCAGAAAATTAGGTTCTTCGACGGCATGCAAAATCTGCCGGAGGAATGTCACCGGTTCGTTGGGATAATCGACTATGTGCGCCAGAGTTGATTTTGCCATTTTGCAAATTTTGAATGACATCGCAAAATTGTGAAAACGAACCATTTTTGAATTTGAATTTGGAATTTAATTTAGTGCGCACAATTTGGCAGTCTGGCAAGCAGTCGTATGTCAATAGTTTGATGTACCTATAGAGAAATGTGTGCCATGTCTACGTCAAATTGTTACTGTTTATAAGTACAAACATCCTATTCATTCATTAGTTTGTCAACGAAATCGCTGAATGGCCTACGCTTAAGCATTGAGGTTTGTTCCTGTGTGTGTCTATACCTGTGTCTCAATATATGTATCTATGCTGGATATGAAGTCGGGTTTTGCCGTACTTTTGAGCGGAAATTGGCAACTTCTTCTTGCCATTGAAATATCTTCGATGAGCTCCTGTATTACCTGATATATGCTGTCTTCTGTATAATTGTCGCACTCTCCAGCGGCTTGTGTGCCTTACAGTGCGTCTTCCAGATAACCGACGGACGAGCATTAATATTAAAAAACATCTCACCCAACCACCCAATCAGGCATACGAACAGACTGTCGCAAAAATTCCGAGATATGAATTTGATGCAAATCAAGAATATATATTCTTTATGGTGTAGGAGTTATGTCCTTGCCTGCAGATATGAAAAATACTTCGTTGGCCTGAATTCCACGCTGGACATGTGGCATGTGGCATGTGGCGAAGTGTGTGTCGTTGCTGTCGCTGCAGAGCTCCAATCGCCATCGATTGATATACCAAATGCGTATGGGAATGCGGATCGCGGCATGGCTGCATGTGTTCATCAACCTGCTGCCGTTTAGTTATTTTATACCAACTTTGTTTGCCAAGAATACAAAAGCTGCCACTCAATGCGAATATTCGGCTGTGGTATGGCCACAGTGGGCACTAAAGTGTGGCATGGCATTTGTTCGTTTGCAGGCGCATCTCAAAGAAATAAATAAAAGGAGGCTCGCCCCGGCCAAAATACCGGAAAATCCACACATTCTTCGACGCAGCCACTTTGCATGCAATGCGAGCAACTTGCTCAACTTTTGTTTGCTGCTGCATTTGTCTGTGGAAATGCCTTGTGCAAACTGAAATTGAATTTGTAAAAATTCGCTTGTAATAATTTCTCGATTTTCGGTGGAAATTATTTGATTACACACACGTGAGGAACGGTCCGCCTCCAACCGCTGATGCAGCTACCAGCCAAAGGACTTGATCTTCTCCAGCTCCACTGAATGCTGGCTGCTGGCTGCTTGGAGGCCATAAAATAAACTTCATCTGCTGTTCGTGCTGCTTGGTATTTTGGGTGCAAAAACTTGAGATGCGCATTCATTCGCAAAATTCCCAAAACAAATAAACTTGTTTTGAGGTGGCAAATGCAACGCTTGGCTCCGAAATATATAGATATTGGAAGGATTGCGGATAGGAGGTCGATTATAGTGATGTGATTAGTGGTTTCACAATGCCCGAGTGAAGTAACAAAGATGCTTTGGAGGAATTTTTGAATTTTTCAAGAAATCCATTTCAGTCATTGTTTTCGACGCGTTAACAAATTACAATTACTTTAGTAAGTAAACCTGGAAATAATTATTACTGCAGAAGGAAGGTCTACTTATTTCAGAAAGTGTAGCTGCAAAGTGTAATTAGTTGAGTAATTTTATCAAACACTTTACTTTAGTAAGAAAATTGATATACCTTATGAATTCCATATGAAATACGAATGTGTTATTCATTTCCGTATATCTCGTTTTAAAAACAGGTTTCTTTTCATGTGGAGGCAAATGCCAAGCAGCAAGGCAGCTAGTAACGTATACCAGGTCGTACTTAAACGAGCATCCCCAGGATTGTAGCTGCGATGTAATTTGCATTTTGCAAGTCCAAAATGAACTAATAAACACACACCGGAACCCGAGTCCACAAATTGCCGATGTTTGCAGCGCAAATCACATTACCCGGCATTGCCCGACCCCGCACAAAGAAAGAGGTCTAAGCAGTGTCCGGTGGCACAGGGGCTAATAGGCAACCAGTCGCGGATACTCGGCTCAAATTGAAAGTTATTTAATGCCTAGGAGGGGGGGCGGTAAAAGGTCGAGCCCTGAGGTAAGGGGCGCGGCGGCCTATGAGGTTACGGAAATTGTTACGCGATGCTTGGCCAGGCCAAGAAAATGGCAACCGCAGGAACAACAACAAAGGCGACTGGTTTTCAGTTGCCTGTGCTTATTTTTGTTTTTTTTTAACGAATAAGATTCAAAAAGTTTATGCCGTTGGCTGTCAAGACTTGGCAAATGGGCAGCTGAAGCAGAAGCCGGGCGTCTTGCGTGTGATTCGCATTCGCTGGAGGATTCCGTGTGCGGGGACACTGAATATTTAACAAGCGGCTGCGGAAGAGGAAACCAAATGGCGCAAGTATTGCTCAGTTTAATCTATTTCCTGCACGGGCTGCCTCCAAGCCCTGGAGTCTGTCTGACTCCCTTACTGCCTGCCTGTCTGCCTGCCTGCCTGCCTGCCTGGCGGCCGATCTGCACAATCTTTAAAAACACCAATTTATCGTTTCATAAAAAGGCAAACTTCACTTAATTCCGTGAGACAACAAAATTTGTTGGTTCGCCACAAGTATATTCATTTTCCAGTAAATATTGCCCGCAACGAAACTTAATTTCAAAACAAAGTGTCCATAAAATGTTCGGTTCAAGACAAAAGTGTAAAAAAAATTTAAATCATTTGTGGTAAAAAGAAAGACAAATCTTTGATTTAAGTACTATGTCTATAAACATGATTACGTACTAATAATTACAATACTAACTTGCCCAAAAACTGCTGGGATACCGAAGATAAAATACTCTTGCATTTATATACAAAAGTACGATTTGCTTAAGGTATTTGTTACACATCCGATTGATCTTAAAGGAACTTACTCTTATAGTGGGCCGCTCAAATAAATTATATTTTGAAATTAAGTGCAAGCTTACTAAACGAATTGCTTAATCATTTTCAATGTTAATTTTAGCTTGCAGCTCGCAGTTTTGACTCAAAAAAAAAAAAAAAAAAAACAAAGAAACTTTTCAAATTTTCCCCTGGGAAATGTATGTTTATGTCTTAAATTAAAACAAAAAAAAAACTGAAAACATGGCCACAGAAAATGCGCAAGCCACAAAATTGTTTTCAAATTAAGATGGCAATTTTCAGCTAGCAGCACCCACCTCCAAAGGACAATGGAAATTTCACCCCCAAGATGCGACTAGGGAGAAAGACCTGGTCAGGTTATCAGATGAGGTGGGGATGGTGTTCAGGGCCAAGAACTTATGCCCGAGCTCTATGTAAACGCAATTTGATTATATTCACGGTTACACTTCATTCGTCCCCAGGTTTAGGTGAAGGTACCCTCAAATCTGTGCCATGGCAAATTGACATAAATTGTTTTTGCTGTTATTGTTGTTGTCTGTTTTGGCGCCCTCACTCAAGCAATTTATGCGATCAATTAAATATTTTTAAAATGACCAAAAAGTTGTTTGGCTTTTTTAATTTTCATAAATTTTACTTAAATGTTTTCACTTTTGCAATAGTAAATTTCATTTTGGCCCGCCGCTTAATGTGTCAAATTTTTTGTTTTTATTTTCTGACAAGTTATGAGAATGATAACAAGATTTTATGTTGATTAGAAAATTTAGATATTGGGGCGTTACTCGTTGGTATTAGAATTTATTGCAAATGAGCAAAACTTTATGAAAATTAAAATGCACAAAAAAGTCAAGGAGCCAGTGAAAGTAAATCAAATGTAAATCATCGACAGCAACCAACGATCCTGGACCAACTTTCATCTTTCAAAAGTCCGGCAGCAACAGCAGCAGCAGCGGCAAAATGATATACAACACATTTTGTGGAACCTTTACAACTAAATGCGGATAATCTGTAAGTTTGCTTTTCCAAAATTTATGTGAAACGGGTGGAGTTTTCCCTACATTCTTGTTGCTGCTGCTGCTGCTGCTGCTGTTGGCTGGTCTTGTTGTTGTGCTTTTTCTTGGTTCTCTGTATAGTTTTTCATCTAGTCAACCCCGCAGCCCGCAACCCGCATCCCAGTCATATCTGGTGCCCAAAACTAAAACATGCGCATTCAATGGGCGTCCATCCCATCCGGTAGCCCCCACCTTGCCCCTCAGTCAGTCCTGTTGCTGCAATTCATTTCCAACAGACGGGTATACGTATGTGTGTGTATGTGTGTGTGTGTGTGTATGAGTGCTCGTTTTGGAGGAGTGCTTCTCGGTGTATGTGCGGAGATTTACCGTTTTATACTTGACATTTCCAAAAGTTTAAGTTTTAATTTATGACACCGCCACTTTCTATACGGGGCGACAAGCTAAATATGAGCGAACGGAGCAAAGGGGCTGGGGCAAGGGGGACTGGGGGGATAGGAGAGAGATGGATATCCTTAAACAGGATACCTAACTATTGTCGTTAGTCTTGAGTCGTTCGTCCAGCTCATCTTTACAATACGCTCAGCTTTCTGGGACAGAAGTCCGTTGTTCATTTAAATAACCATTGAGAAGATTCAACAATTTTATGCTGCGGTAACAAAAATTTGCTGAAGCCCATTCAAAGTGTCATATTGTCTAGTGACTTAAGTGCTTAAGTTAACAAAGTGCAGATGAGTAATAATTCATAGTTATATACACGATCTGCACATAAGCATGGCTTGTTTTAATTAGCACCAATGCATGCAAAGAAAACTGCAATACGAAGTAATATCCTTAAATAAGACAGCAAATGGTAAAAAAAAACCCAATTTTTTCCAAATACATGAAGATATAAACTTTCTATGTGAAATCTTAATCAAAAAAGCCAATCAAAAAACATAGATTTGATACAATTTATTATTTATATATATATATATTGTAAAGATCAAAATATTTTTCTCACATACTATCTTAACCAGCCAAAAAAGATACACATCACATAACATCAATATGACACTATTGGGAAATGCACGACTTGCATCGATCGCCAAAAATGGTCGTATCCGAGCGGACTTTCAAATGTTTTGTTGCTAAAACCATCGATGACGCCTCTGATGTTTCCGAATAGGGCGCTCATAGTTTCCTATACCTGTGTGTGGGTAGCGTATGATGAAAAATATTGAAGATTTTCCATATTGGGCTGCGTTTACCTGGTAACGAGTTGTAATAGTCGCCAGCACCACTGGGTGCATTCGAATGGGAGCTGTAATTTGAAAATATTGCCAAAAACTTTCTATAAATGTATTTACTGGCATTACTTACTAAAGTCCATTGCGCAGATTTCCTCCTCTATTAGTTAAAGGAGCGCGATAGTCGGTACGCTCATAAGGATCACAGTTTCTAGGTTCCTCAGAGTACCATTCGGGCCGTCCACTGTAGTTAGTGCGAGAATAATCTGGTAGCTCACATCTATAACCAGTCTGTGCGACATATTGCTGATAGCACTGCGAAAAAATTGCGATAATTTATCAAAAGCATTCCGTAAACTAAAGCCAAACCCACATCGATTATGTTGTCATCATCATCTGGTGCTGCCATGCCGTATTTCTCCATAATTTTGAAATTTTTTTAAAATTTGAATTTGAATTTTTCGAAAATCGAAAAGATGTATAAGACCTGAATACAAAAGCGAATTTGATTTTGGAAATACAAATCGTACATGCCTCGCTGCCTACTTCGCATGAGTAACTAGATCAAATTCCATTTTTTAATATTTAGCGATAAAAGCTAAACTGAGTGCTTGAAAATAACGTCTCGTTAAATGTGAAGATCAAAAATTAATTCTGTACACACGGCTTATCTCAGAATTCCAGCAATCGCATCAGCACTTCAAAATTTCCAATTTGCTAATGATGTATCTATGTATGTGTCTGTCTGCATGTATGTATCTGTTTGAGTGTGTTAGTGACTGTAGTTACTTTAGCTCTAAGTCCACGGGCTCAACATGAAAGCTGAAATCCCTCTGTCCAAGCCAACCGAAGGAAACACACTCTCTACATTCTCTGTGAGGATGATGAATTTGAACATTTTGTGTGCGCAAAGTCACTTGCTTAAAAGTTATTAGGGATTAAAAGAGTTGCGGCTGACGACACAAATGCGCTTTGGTATCTGCTTCATTAGAAACGAAAGGCAATTGCATGGTACTCGCAGGACATGTGTGTGTGTGGCGCAGAGAAAGGGAGATGCAGAGAGAGAGAGAGATAGATAGAGTGTGTGTGTGTGTGTGTGTGTGGGTAAGTAAACACCTTTGGTGAAAGTTTTTGAAAATACTAAAAGGAAATCACTTTAGGCGTCCTGCAAAACGGTCCAAAGAAAATGCCATAGCATCCAAAAACTTTTGTATCAGCACACCCCCGTATTTCTAGCCCTTCCCCCTCCCGCTCACCCTTCCGACCATAAAGCCCAAGTTTTGTTGGTGGCAGCGTGAACGATTATGAGCAGCAATCCTGATTTTACTGACTACCTCACAGCAACTTTTGAGACAACTTAATTCCCTTCCAGATAAATCAAAATAGTTGGCTAGCAGATCAGGGTATTTTAGCTTTGCTTTCACAGAAATTTGTATTTTTATTTACACCATTTTTAACTTATGCATTTTTATGAGCTGCGCTTTGTGTGTGTGTGTGTCCGTGTGTATGCCTGTGTATGTGTGTGGTTTATCCTTTCATAAATGCGTCCAACGCCCAACTGATTTATGCCACCACAAGCTGGATCTGCTGGTACCAAGTTGCCACACTCCCTGCGCTCCTTGCAGTCCCTCCTTTGTCACACCGGCGCTTCCTCACGTCGACGACGGCAACAAAGTAACAAAACAGGCAAACAAAAATTCCAGAAACAACATAAAACCGATTGATTTATTTTGACAATGCTCCATGCAGAGTCCGAGTCTGAGTCCGAGCCGGAGTTGGAGTTGGAGCTGGAGTCCGAGAGAGAGTCCGGTAGACGGCTGGCCATTGTTTGTCCAGGCGGTGTTCGCCCCATCGACATGTTCCGTTCGCATTTCGGACCGTCACCAGACTGGGCACAACGCCCACTCCACTCCACCCGCCCATCCCTTTTCACCCCTAAGCGATGCCTCTGCAAAGTTGTCCTCGTTGTCCGTTTGTAAAATATTTTATTTGCCCATCTTTCTTATTTTAATCCTTCATTGCATTTGGGGTGGGGGGTTTTGCTTGGGTGCTTTGAGCTGTGCACAATTTCATTGTGAATGCAGCCAGAGTGTGTGGAAAATACACGAAACGAATACAATTCAGACTGCGTGGGTTTCTATGGCCATAAAACACACGTTAATTACCCTGCAGAATCATCAACCCATTCTTTGCCAAGCCCTCCTCAATTTCTACTTATATAACTATAACACCAACATTTTTCCAACCAATAAGTTTTTTACAATTTAAATAAGAGGACATTTATAATTTATTAATATTTTGAACTAAACATAAGTTCATTAATAATAATCTAAGTAAATATTTAGAAGACACCATATCCGAGTGCTCGTCTTAAAATTCTCTTAATAACACTCAGGAAAAAATCAACCTAAAATCACAAAATCACAAAAAAATGTGTTCTAGTTTTCAGGGCGATTCCAGGTATATTTTTCTCAACGTACCAAATATCTTGAATATAAGGGAATAACATAAATAAAAAGCAGCGCATACATCAGTTTTTTATTATACATTTTTGAGGTACACAAAATATTAGATAGATAAATCTGGAAAAGATTTGCATATATAAGTTATTTTGAATGAAATCAAAAGCTGATGCTTCTTCCTCTGCCCTTTGTCGGCATCCTCGGAGTAGGTAATGTTTTGATTTTCTTTCTAGATTCAAGGTATCTATTACATATATAATATATTTATATGTCTTGGTTGTAAAGAATATAAAGATGATTTTGCTGAACTTACTTGCAAGCCATTATGCAATTTACTCAACCTGATGCGCGTCTTTTCCCGCATAATATATCGATATGATGCAGAGCTAATATAAAATTGTGGCGGAGCAGGAACTTTGGCACATCCACAGCATCCTGTACAACAACTCATATTTTTTAATTTATTTATTTTTTTTTGACAAGAGAATTTTGAGACAAAGCCGAAAAAATAAGAGTTGTTTGCTTTTCAAAAGCTGGCTCTATACTAAAAGATTGCTCAAGTTTTTGTCATAGCTTTGGAAAAGGAAAAGCCAACCATATTAAAAGAAAAATACAAATACATAAATGAAAAAAATTCGCTACCCACATATAATTATAATAATTTTAAATATAATTATTATTATACCATTTATTAATAAATGGAAGAATAATTCGTAATGGTTCCCTAGTTAAATCAAAGTATAAAATACATATAATATATTTTTTCAATCATTTATTAAGAAAGTAACCTAAAGTCTGATTTGAAAGCGAACATTATATTAATATGTATGACAAGTACGCAGGACTAGTAATAAGGATGAGCGCCATTACGCTGCTGACCATACATTTGAGCATCGGCTCCACCAATGCCCGGCAAAGAGCTGTAATAATCGCCATTGCCTCGGCCCGAACGCTGATCCATTGGAGAGCTGTATGGGTTCAAGGGATAAGGGGGTGCTCTTCAAACAAATAACAGTTTTTCTTACTAGAGTCCGTTGCGAGAGTTCATCTCTCGCATGACCTTGGTGTAACGCAGGGGGCTGCGATAGCCGGGACCCCCGAAGGAAGCGGATCCACTTTGGCAATTCCTCGAGTCATCATAGGACTGCATGCCACCGCCTCCATAGCTCTGGGGTTGACTATATTCCTGACCCAACTCAGGCGCCTGGCCGTCGGGCGTGGACATGCCATAGCCCTCCATTGATTGATATTGTAAGTTTCCGTTTCCATTACCGGCACCGTAATCCATGACTTAATTTTTTCTTTTTATAAATTAAACAAGAAATTTATACTAAATTTGGAAAAGACGTAAAATTTCAAAATTTGTTGATTGTTTTTGCTGCTCCTTTCCGTCCGAAATGTGAGTTTGAATTAAATTCAAATTTGGTGCTACCCTAAGGCCAAGCAACTAATTTCCAAATCGATCTCATGGATAACTTGATGCAAAAATGTGATATACATAAGTTGTAGGAAAAGTTGCAGCATTCTGTGAAACTGTATTTAGCTGTCGCAGATTTATGAGTCCATTTCCTTTAGTGGACCAAAGTAACTTAGCCACTTCTTAACCCATTCGGACGGCTTATCGCACCAGCCACAGTGCAACTAAAGTTTTCCAACAAAAATACAAAAAAAAGAGAGAAAATGCCGGCTGTAAAACAGCCATAATGGAAATCAAAACGACTGCAAGCCAATGAATATGCAGAAAGCAGCAGTCGCCGAATAATTAAAATCGAGTAGCTCCTTGCGGAGGATTACGCGAGCGCAGGCTTCAGAGATACGGGCCACACTTTACGGTCGACAATTAAGTGCGCCTCCGTAATCTGTCTGTCGTAATTATGGCTCCACGGCGTATTTATCTGCTGCAATTAGCGCCCTGCACGACTCGCATATTTCACAGATCCAGAGATTGAATTGGTCTGTAAAATTTGCATGCGCTTAGAACCAGGTCCTTGGTCCTTGGCCCCCACGACACTAGCACGAATGCGAATGCGAGCAAGTTTATGCAAGTTTATGTCTTTAATTAAATTTCACAATTGTCTGAAAAAAGAGCATTGGAATGTGTAGGATTGTAAAACACAATTATTGAGTTATCGTGGTTTATTGATATATTTAATCGAAGTTCTCAGTTCTAGTGTGCGCATGCGTCTACGCGCAGGCTCATTATCACATATTAAACATAAATTGCGTTTCTGCTTATCACTTAATCAAAATAACATTAGAAGCACTCCGAGTTATCTGCCTAGGGCGAAGGGCTCGCTTGAGGAGGTCTTCACATAGTAAATGCCTGCCTTGGGTATCGACGGTTCACCGCCCATTTTATAGGCTTGTCGCTGGCTCTCATCACACTTCCACTTTTTCTCAGTCCGCTCGCAGGGTGTGCCCCAGAAGCCCTGAGGTGTATTGATGGATTCGGCAAACATTTGATAGGCACGTATGTGGGAGCAACCCAAATATAAACAACTGCGCTGATAGAGTCCATAGTTAGGATAGAAGGTGGCACGGCCGGTAGGTTTCAGGAAACCAAAGTTGCCACTCGTATGCATGGACTCCACATATCGTGCATCGCTGGCATCAATGCGAAACTGTGGACTGCGATCCCGAAACGAGGGACCTGCCGGATCCAAAGCAAAGATGGTATTATACTGATCGGGCTTCAGGAATTTGCCAGCAGAACCCGCTATTTGGGCACCCAGCGAATGTCCAATCACATACATATCATCGTAGCTAGCCCCAAAGTTCCGATTCAATTCGCGTGTGAACTGAGCCAACTGAGCACCAAACTCATCAATTAACTTCACCACGAAGAAATAGTTGATATTGGCGGAGCTTGCACTCCAATCCGTTACGATCACATTGTAATCGCCATGCTTTAAATACGCATTCTTCACATCCCTATTGAAGGAGCCACGCGACTGACTCATCCAGCCATGCACAATGATTCGAGTGGGCAGCGAGCTATTGAATCCAGAGTGTCGCCACTTCTTCTCATTGTTAAAGTCAATTTTGCGTCCGCATTCGGGGAACTCGCGCTGGAACAAATAGAACTGCATGCGATGGTCTCGTGAGCGAAATGGATTCAGATTACGAGCGATCTTCTTGATTAACGACAAGTCCAGAAAGTGGCCAATGCCGTGCTTCTCGTTCAGATCCTTGTCGCATTTATTCCACACACAAGGCTCGGTGGTCTCGTACTCATCCTCCAGTGTGGCCAGCAGGTCAGCATCCTTCACTTCGTCTTCCCCAAAGCCGCTGCGTATACCAATGGATATATTCTCAGGATCGGGCACCTGTGCCATAAACTCATCCATCTCCGAATCATAGTTCTCCTCAATACTGTTGTTTTGAGCTGTAGAGAATATTATGTAATGAAAATATAATTAATAAATATAAATAAAAATAGTTCAATTATATGAATACATAGAATGACTTCATGTTTTAAATTAAAACATGTATTGTTTGGTGATCTCCCGGTGAATGCCGTGGTGATTCCCGTGGTCTTCAACTGTGGAGTTTTAAACTCTAGCCAGCGAAAATCAAATTTAAATGAATCAAAATGTTAAAAAAGTTTAAACTTGTTTCTTATTAATCGTTATTCCAGACGATTGATAATGCCAAACAAAAAAAAAAGTACTAATTTTAAATAGTTAGTCATGACTTACCATTTGCTGCAGCAATAAGCAGCACTACCGCAACAAATTTGAAGCACATATTGATTTGATCAGCTATTATAGAGCTACTACACGCCAGCAGAGACTATAACATTCTGTTGCTTTTCTCCAGCTCGCACTCTGCTTATATATGCAGTAAACGTGATATGGCATTTGAGCTTTATGCTTGATGCTGCACTTTTAGCATCAGTCGCGTCGCGTTCGCTCCTCTAATCTACTTGTAATTATCACTTGTGAACGTCACTGGGTCTATCGCCTGCTAAATCTAAGTTCACTCTCGGACTGGCATTGCCCACGATGACAGCACCTGGCACGCTTTTCCCACAGCATCGACAGACAACTAATTCAGTCAGTTATAGTTGATTTACTTTGGCATTACCGGTTTTCTTAATACATACACGGTATACGCGCAAGCATCTGAACTTTAATGACTCTAAACTTGCAGCCGTATAGCGTGATAGCGTTTGGGAATTTCTTGAATATAATTTAACGGATTCGGTTAATACAGCATGAAAATTAAGGTATTTGAAATACCTTATAATATAAATATATAATTCGATATACTGATCCGTATGTAGGCTTCTACACGAACTTGTATCTAAGCTATAAAATCCTCTTGAACAAATACAACATTTTTGATTCAAATTTATTCATTACAATTTTTTTTATTTTTTTTTATTCATAAGACTATTTAGTTTTAAACAGTTCAGGTGCGATATGTAAGGGTATATAAACTTCAGCAAATAGCTGTGGCGTCTATGTTGTTTACTATTGTTGCTACTGTTGCTACTGTTGCTACTGTTGCTTACTATTATTACAATTGTGTAAAAAAGCTTAATTGGATTTACTAATAAATATTACTGCATTATAATTAGTGCAATTACAAAGGAATTATCAGTTAGTGAACTATATAGAGTTCTACTGTAAAATGACAAGGTGACGCAATTAAAGTGTTGAAGTGTAACTCACTACGTAAATCAATCCGTTTTTAAAAACGGAATTCGATACATATCATCAACATCGAATATAATATTGTTTCCAAAAATATCTTCTTCGTAATTTTATTAATTACTTCCAACGCTTTTAAAAATTGCGGAAGATAAATACAATTTGAGAAATGGGCTTGTCAACAATCACTTAATCCAAACAATAACAATATATACATATGATATGATGATCATATATACAGAAATTTTACAGATTACAGGACCAAACTCAATTGAAACGGAATCGAATGGAATATGGGGCCCATGTAAGAATCCAAACACTTGTAAAATATTCAATCACAGACGGTTCGAATATACATGTATATAAATCGAAATCAGAAAGTCCTTGTTTTCTCTTAAACTACAAGGAACATTTTGAATATAGCCGTGCGCAATTCAAAATGTTTGACACAGGCATATAAATATAGAATGCACTTTTCTATATTTAATAATCCCTATGTCTTGTATTGCTTTGTTGAGGATTATTTTTGATCCAAAGGACATCCAGGCATTCCTTAAAATGAGGCGATTCTTTAATTTTATACATTTTAGGAACTAACCATTTTGAGTAAATTTTTTCCAATTTTTCGAAACAAGGTGCCCAATTAAAATTGCATAAAAAGCGCAGCAGCATTGCTCGCGGATCTGCTTAGAGATTTTAATCAATTTTAAAATCAACTGCTTGATAAGCAGTGTGAAATTAACATCTGATTCTTAGCTGAGTTCCACACCTAGTAGCAATGAAAAATAGAGTTCACAATTACTGGATTTGTTTTTCATGAATTACATTCCACAATTATGGATTGAAAACGCATTGCTTGAAGCTTTCAGTTTTGTTACATTAAATGTACCATTCGTTCATATAAAATACATTTGATATAAAACACAGCAAATGGATTTTTTGGCCAGATGATAACTTAATTTAACGCTTTAAGTATTGCATCAGTCAGCTTCAGGTCGTCAGCAATAGTTCCATTGGTAAGGTGGCAGCACCAAGATTAATCGATAGCCCGTACTTACTTTACATACATATATCGATAAGTGCAACTATTGTTGTTGTGCTATCAATGCGAATGAGGAAGCAGAATTGTAAATATCAACTGCCTTCCGTGGAGATAGCCGCACAACGCGGCTAAAAGAAAATCAATAGAATGAGTCTCGACGACGTCATCTACGTATTATGCCTGCTTGCGTGCATTGGAGCCGGCAGCTATGTAAAGAAAATCCGCGATGAGACACAACGCAAATGCATTTGCTCGATGCTGGGAATTGTTGTTGTTGTCATCGTCTCTGGATTCCATAGTATCCACTGTGTCATCTCCCTAGGCCTGGGAGCGGCCAGTGTGCTTCTCGTGCATCCCAGGTACAAAGTGAGATCCTTTTTCATACATCGAAATTAATGCAAAGTTTGATTCGATGATTGCAGCAAATGCCATTTGGTCACCTTTGGAATTATGTTTGGTTATCTGGTCTTCTTCCGTCTTGTCCATCTCTTTGGCCTGCCATCTGTTCCTGGACACACCAATATGATACAAATGCTGCTTACCCTAAAGGTTAGTGGTCACTGCATAATCAATCATTCATCAGCTCCCTAATCCTAATCCTTCATCAGGTCTCGGGTATTGCGTTTGAGAAAACAGCTGCCTGGAAGCGAATTCGTGCGCGAGAAAATCAGGATAAAAATGCGGAACGGGATGTGAACACCGAGGAGAGCATCGAAATAACCGAATACGATGTGGAACTGCAGCTACTGACTGTCACTGAGATTATCCACTATAGCGTCAATTACGTTGGCATTCTCACAGGTCAGTGCTCAGATTTATTTTTCCTTTACTTTTATAAATAGAATGAAAACTGCAAATTGACAAGCATTACAAATGCAGACGAGATCAATCAAGATTTGCATTAAATTACATCGGGATCAAAGTCCATTTACGCAATCTCAACATTCACAGATAATGGCATTCTATCAATAGGCCAGAACTATCGCTATTTATATGAGTCAAACGTCTTATCTCAGTGCATTGTCAGCATGTGTCTATATTTAATTAACTAGTGTAATATATGGACAGAAGCGGAATTCATTAAAATAATGCAATATCTAACGAAATTCGAATTCTGGTGTATACTTAATTTCACTTTAAGATTTCCTTGTTCAAATAAAATGGTAAACTTAATATTCAAAATGATGCAAAATAACAATCCATTAAGCAAGAAAAACAGAAATCTAGCAATAATTCACTAATTTAAAATACTACATTTGTTTTTCAAAATATTTAAATATGTTTTATATATTCATTATTATAATTATTTCAACTTGCAGGTCCATATTTTCGCTATCGCACGTATCGTGACTACTTTGAGATGCCTTTCAAAGATCATGCGCCCTGCGTACAGGCAACCATTGAGCAGCTCAAATGGGCCGCTTTCTATTGCAGTCTTTATCTGGCGACCAACTACTTCTGGCCACTAGATGTGAGTATTTCAAAATAGATAATATATTGACCATATAACAACTCTGTAACACTTTTGCAGTACGCTCTCAGCGATGAGTTCTACAACGATCGTTCCGTTCTCTATCGCCTGTTGTATGTGTGGCCAACATTCTTCATTTTCCGTGCACGCATCTACACCGGTCTCACATTGAGCGAATGCGTTTGCACAATGTCTGGATTTGGTGCATATCCCGATGAGGCGGATGTTGCCAATGGGGAGGGTCCTCGCAAGCGCTACCAGCACATGGAATGGGATGCTGAGAAGCGCACCTACAATTTTACCACGATTGTAAACACTCGGGTTTGGGACGTGGAGCGCTGCTGGACCTTCCGCGAGGGCATGAAGCACTGGAACGTGTGCGTTCAGTATTGGCTGGCAGTGAATGTCTACAAGCTGTTCCCCATCCGCAAATATAGGTCTGTATGCCACGATTTACAACTGTACTTAGGCTCAACAATAATGTATTCATTTTTAGAACGGGTGCCACTTTTCTGTGCTCTGCCTATTGGCATGGCTTTCGGCCTGGCCACTATTTCTGCATCATGGGCGCACCATTGTATGTACCACTGGAGGATATGTGGCATAAGCTGGTTCGAAAGGATGCTGTCGGCATGCAACGCAATGTACTCGATGTCATATTCTGGATATCGAAATGGTTCGCCTTCAGCTACCTGGGCACCGCCTTTTTATTGTCCTCGTTCGACAACATTTGGCGCTTCTATAGCTCCGTTTATCACTTCGGTTACATCGCTTGGGTTCTCATGGTTGCCCTGGGCGTACTTCTGACCAAGCAGAAGAAGGCAGCAGAACGCAGAGAAAAACGCGCTCCGGATTCCATTGCTTCCACTGGAGATGCAAGTGCAACCAAGCTGAAGGCTCAGTAAGGGAATCATACAGATATGCAGCTCGAACAAACATATTATTCTTAAATAATGCAAAATTCCGTGTTCCAATTTGTGTATACATAGAATCTGTAGATAATTAGTCAAATGATTACTTTCTACTATCTAAGCCAAGATATATATATGGGGTTTTCTTATAGTTAAAATTCACTACAGTTTAAATTTAAACAAAGATACTTCCCCAACTCTATCGGATAACTATATCATACAATTTTTTACTTACGTAGTTGGAATTGAAGTTTCGTGCAAGAGAATTAAACAGCCTATTGTTTGCTGTATTTATTGTCAAACTTATAAATCATTACAATATTTTAAAACAAATTGCTTTCTAAACTTTATTACAAAATGCTGAGCTTGAGAGTGATAGAGAAATGTAATTTGAACATACAGATTCGAGATATGTTAATGAGCTATGATTAATACAATCAAATATAATAAACAATTCGAGGAGAAATATAGTTTTCATTTTGTTTCCTTTTTTTTTCGGATTGCTAATAATGTAAATTTGTTGCATATTTATTTATCTATAGGAAGAATACTAAAATTAAGTTTACGTTATTGTAAATGTTTGTGTTTTTTTTTTATATGTATTCGATACCAGCTCGAATTTGGTCTAAATTCAACGCGTTTCCATTTCAGATTCATAAATTTAGTTTCTTCAAATATGTGAGCATGGCAAGAGATTTCCTGTTGCGTTTACTTTTGCTAATTAGAGCAACGCCGACCCAAAAAACCAAGTGGCCGGGTGCAGGGTGAGCGAGGGTCAGGCCGTCGATGGCTCATCGGTGACCAGGGATAAGCGACGCTTTACATCCTGTGTGGTGTTATAGGCGCCGCATTGCACGCACTTGAGCCCGATGAAATGAAATTTGGTTTTTGAAGTCTGCCGTGGAATGAAAAATGCAAAATTATCATGTTAACAACATTATGTTTAATATCTAGTATATCAGTTACCTTGTGACAATCGTTGCAGAAAATGTGCACACGCTGATTCTCGTACTTGAGTGGAACGGGCATGCGCAGGGCCTGGGCATCCAGGTAATCCCAGAGCGCCGTCATGTCGATCAGCGATGTTTGGCAGGTGGGGCAGGTGTAGTGACCCGAGGCCAGTAGTTGATCGAAGCACATCTTGTGCAACAGATGGCCACAGTCTGGAATGTGGCAAGGAATGCGCGAGGTGTGTATATCGCCCAGACAGACGGGGCAATGCGAACGAGAGATATTCTCCACACACTACAAAACAAAACGTACAAAATACAACAAATACATAAGGTGATTCCCCACTTTGCACACACACCCAAGATGCTATTTTTAAACTGGATTTGTTTTTGAGCTGTCAATTCGGAAACCAGTTCAACACTAATTCTGCATAAATATTAATATTATAGAGTACGATTTCTTCCAATGAACCACAATCTATGCATATTCAATGTCAAGAAGCCGGGTATTAAAAAGAAAGATACATTTAACAATTGCAACCCAGATCATTGGCATTCAAAATAGTAGCCTTGACTTAGTGTGAATCACAATATTAAGCATATATTTAAGTTATTATTGATTATAGCAAACAACTTGTGCTTACTTTTAAACATTATATGAAGTATATTTGGGCTAAGTTTTAGCTAGAAATATGCTTACCCGATGCCCATCGATCTTAAGCTGCATCGGCAGACACATGTTGCACACTTCGCAGTGGAAGAAGTTATGGGCACCGCCAATGCGGCAGATGCCACAGCCATGACAATGATATTGCTGTTTATCCGCATCGTCGAACAGGTTGCAAATCAGGCATGTGTACTAAGAGTAGAAATACATATATAATATTTATAATAATAATGTAGAAGGAAGCAACTTACCTTGCCGAAGCGTACGCCGCACTCTTCGCACTGCTCCTGTACCTTTTGCCGCGTGTTGCACTCAGAGCAGATAAGTTCCGTGAGTGTCTTCCGATCGAAATGATGCGACTCGTTCTCATCGTGGCAGAAGCGGCACTTGTAAAACTTGTTGCAACAGGGAGTCTGTAAAGAGTACATGAAATATTTAAACAGTTAATTTAATTTTATATAATTTAATTCAAAAATTTAAAAACTGAGGACCTGAGAAGCCGTTAACATTAATCTACAAGTATTTAAAAAAAATCGTATTAAAATCGGTTTGATAAAAATAAAAAGAATGAAGCACCAAATAAACAAAAATGAAGTGTAATATATTATTTGGCGGAATTCTGACAGCTTCGATGCTAAATGAAGCTGTTAATGAAATATAAGCAAATGAAATAAAATAAAAAAAGCTACTTGGAAACCGACCTAAAACAATTCCATTTAATATACTGGCGGGCATCTACTTGGGTTAGACTTAACGTTATGATAAAGCATGGCAGACGCAGCTCAATTTGGAAAGTCATAAACCTTAATTAATCCAAACTGAAACTGAAATCGAAAACAGGAGGAGGAGGTGGAGGCGTCTGTGGCAACTTTGTGTCAAATTCTCTGCTAATTGTTTGGCTAAATACGTCTGCTTGCTAAATAGTCCGTGTCGCAAATTGTTTAAATGCTGATACAATAAAATCTCCAGCACAGTGGAGCGAAAAAACACCGATGGCAATATTAAATCTGGTTTCTTGACCTCCAATCATGCTCCAAAACGAGATGACCATGAGAGATCTTTACATTTCTAAAAATAATTTATTTGCAAGCTTTACAAATTCTTAATTGTCCACGCAATGTGCTCAATTCAATTTTTGAAATTCTTCAGCTGCTTTGTCATTTCAATCTGATAACAAACAACACACACACACGAGCAAACCAAATTGTTGTAATGGGAATTTTTCAATTGTGCAATGTTCTATTCCCCAGTTAAATAACAGTTAAGAACAAATTGAATAGTGTTTTCTTGATAATAAAGCTAGTTCACCTGTCGAGAATATTTTTGCAGGTCAATGTGGCTATTTTTTCCAATTTTAGAACAGCTTATAGATATTACATTTATTAGGTAGTGTAAATAGCAGTAAATGGCTTTTTTAAAGATGCTTGCTTCTGTTGTTAATAATAGAAGCACTTGAAATAGAAGTGAAGCACCTTAAAATCCGGTTTTTTTGATTTTCCCACAATCAATATTTTTAATTTATAGATAAAAACCTCATTTCGCATTTGGATTCCAGTTGATATACTCCTATTTGGCCAACAGTGCACAAATGACTAATGCAAACAGTAATTGTAACAACGTTGACAAATTTTCAAAGTAAACTCATGTAGGTCGTACAAATTCTAAGTAATATCGAGCATTATTGCAATTTAGAATGTCGTAACTCTCTTATATGCAAATATATATATGAGAGGCATAGCTACGTTTACGCATTTTAAATTGAGTTCACCTGATTCAATAACTTTTATGTACATGTTTTTATTGGTTTGTGTGAGAAAACTCATTTAGTTAGTTGTCAACCAATCGTCACAACATTTTCGTGACATTTTCAAAATTCAGTGAACGATCGTCAAGCAAAAAAACCCAGCTATTCATTTGTTTTGTTCACTGAATATAAATGAGCAATAAAATCCATATTTCATAGCAATTAACCAAAAATTAGCAATTAACATACACAAAATTAACAACTTAAAATAATTATTCACAGACATATTTTGAGTTGTATGAAAAAAGTAAGACAATCTATGAAAGCTGTCAATGGATTGATAAATCACATAACGAAGCAGCCATAAATATTTCAAATTGCTATCGTTTCTACCTCTACCTAAATTAATCAAACAGTTGTAGTGGTAATAGCTACATATGTCAAAATATTAAAAAAAATTGATTTATTTTTATTATGAAATCATTCACATAGAATTGTATGCAGCATTGGCCTTAACACACATCAATTTTTTTTTATTTCATTCTGATCATCTCTAAACTTATTTCAGTATTTGCTAGCCAACAAATGGCGCACTTATTTTGGAAACAGATAAGTTATTGCCTGGTCTGAAGCAAATTGCTAAAGGCAAGTGCTGAAAATAGTAGAAAAACAAGCGGTTTATTTACGCCTTCACAAAGGAAAACGGCAAAGTGTTAATATTTAATTTAACAATAAAGATAAATTCTCGTAATTTAGTGGGGTATCAATGGAGGTGTTAAATGGGCACTCACTCTCTTGGATACTGCAGCCGAATTCAGTCTGTGAGTAAGCCAAGCCAATTACCAAAAACCAAATAGAGAAAATACATATAGAGTACTTGACTACAAAATACCCAGTATTATAATTTAAGTAAAGGGCAATTTATCGTCGATTGTTCGTAACGAGTTAACCCAAATAACGCCTCGCTTCAGATATTTTATTGCTGATCGAATGTTTGCTTAGAGATTAAATAAAAACGTTATCGAAGTTGTCTCCAGCTGAAAGCCTCGCAACTCTCACTCACTCTTGCTTGTCAATGGATGAGGTGTATAAAAATCTCCTTCCGATTGCATCGCAACTCTCATTCATCCTTACTTCGTCGATTTCAATGGACAAAGGGTATAGAAGCGTCAAACTAAAGTGTAAATTGTTGTCGCGCTTTTGTTGGTTTATTTGTATCTTGTTGCTGTTTGCTGCTGGTGTTATAGAAGTGTAGGCAGAATTCACAGGCAAGTACCAATTCCCCCAATTGAGCCCAAATTATGCAGCCACAAAAGAAATGTGTCCGCAATTGTGTTTGCATGTGTGTGAGAGTGTAAGTGTATGATTGTGTGTGTGTTTGTGTGTGTCTGTGTGTTGTGGACTACGTTTGTTTACAAATGTATATATAAGTTGAAATGCTTGTTTTTGGGGAGCAACACAAAAGCAGACTTTGGACAGACCTACACGACGTCGATAATCAGAAGCCAACAATTCGAGGAGGCGTCTCCGGAAATTGCCATGTGTCCGACACAATCAATGATATCTTATTTAGCAAAGTAATCCGTAAGAAATTACAAGGTAACTCAGCTAGTCAGATAATACAGTGAATTAAATAACAACATTTTACTTAATATTTCTGCTCACTGAATCAGTAAATGCATAGCATTTAGTTAAGAAAGGAAAAATATGTGTTTTGATTTAATTAAACTAAGAACGGATAAAAACTTATGAAAAGAGTTGCTATCAAGCAAGCCTAGCTTGCTTCAGAGACTTGAATTGAATTGGGATAATGTTTCAGATACATACCACAAACATAGCGCGGCGCTTGTAGTGCGTGCAACCAAATCGCAATGAATCCGGCGTAGTTGGCTTGGTTGCATCAATGTTGCTATCTAATATGCTGCTTTCGATGAGTGAAAATTGCTCGTGTTGCTGCTGCTGCTCATTTTGCTGTTGCTGATGCTGCTCATGTTGCTGTTGCTGATGCTGCTGTCGCTTGATGTGGGCGACGACAGCAACATCCTTGATGACAATGTTGCTAGCCTCCATGGCGGTCTCCACATGACTCTTATTCACCACATTTTTGTCGATGTTGCTGTTGGGGTCAATAATGTTGCTGCTGCCATCGAATTTGAGCGTCGGCGTCGACTGTGATTTTCGCAAATGAACAGCTGCTGGGCTGCTGACGTTGACTGTGATTCTCGTCGAATTGGGGATGGTGTTGGGATTGGTGTTGGGGTTGGTGTTGGGGGTGGCGGCAGACGATGAACACGGCGCAGGCGACATAATCAGCTGCAGTTGCTTTCGCGCTATTATCTCAGTTACAGGCGGCGATGTTGCTGATGATGATGACGATGACTGCGCTGCTGTTGTTGATGTTGTTGCAGCTGACGCAGCCTCCAGGGAGGTCGACGACGATTGCGACGATGTCGCTGACGATGAATTTAAATTGAGTTGATTGAGTTCTTTTGTATTGGTAAATGTTTGTACATCAATGTTGCTGCTGCTGCTGTTGTTGCTGTTGTTATTATTGCTATTGTTATTGTTGTGTGTTTCACTTGGCGATATTCTGTGCTGCCTCAACTACCGTCTAATTTTGTTGCAGCCACTGTAGCCAGGCCAATTGTTGCTGTTGTTGTTGATATTGGTGCAGTTGTCGCTGTCGCTTTGGATGTCGATGTCGCTGCTGTTAATTGCTACCATCGACGTTGCCTCTTCAATTGCTTCAATATTTAAATGATTCGCCGTTGCGACATTTACTTTGTCTTTGTTCTCTGCTGCTTGTTACGATGATTGTTGTGGTGGTGGTTGCTGTGGTGCTGCTGCTGCTGCTGCTTCTTCTTCTTCAGTAACTCTGCCTCATCACAACAAGAAAACTACGACATGAGCAGATTTAGCCTTAACTTCTGTGTTTTCAGTACGTCTATTACGCTTGATTCCGTTTAATCTGCAGTCAATTCCTTGCCCCTTTGAAAACTTTCGCTCGTGTTCAACTCTTTATATTCACTGCGCGACTGCAAAAAGCGGCTACTTGCAAAGCTTTAATAGCAGTTGAGAGCAGTTGTTCATTATTAATTTGTTTGGGAATTTACATAACAACTGGCATTAGTGGTTTATTTTGTTGTTTAATCAAATATTTGGCCTTAGCACTGTGTTAAAAAAACATGTTATCGGATTATTATTTATAATATTTAATTATTTAAATAATATATACAATTTTTAAATTGGGTTTTACAAAGAATTGCAACTTATAAAAAGCTCTGATTTTTGTTTACATTGAGCTGATCGAAGCACTTTTCACACAATATTATCACACGTTTTATCAAGACTTCAATTTTGTCATTTTAATGTTGTGCACAGTTTTCTAATAGCTTTGTCACAATGTGCACACTTGTTAATACAACTTAAGACAAAGCTGCAAGCACGTTTGACTTTCGCTAGCTTTTTCGACTGTTGTTGCCGTTGAGCCAAAGGGGCTGAGCTGAGCCGAGCTGAGCGAAGCTCTTTGACTATGAAATGAAGACACTTTTATAACACTACTCTCATGCAAACTCACACAAGCACAAATGCGATTGTATGGATACAAATACAATGCAAATTAACGATTATTTAGCAATATGTGGTATGTGGTATGTGTTTCATTTACATACATATAAGATGCACGTACATTTATTATCTTGAGTTTCGCCAAGAAAAACCCCGAGTCTTGTTTGTCTAGAGTGTTTTTTTTTTGTTTTTCTTTTGCACTTATAAAGGGAACATGCCGACAATAAATATTGAAACTGTGCACAAATTAAATACGTGAACCGATAAAAAGGCCAAGTCAGCCAGCTAAACAACCAGACGGTCCACAATCGAATACAGACAGAAACGGACCCGCCAAGCAACAGCAAACAATAGCAAAAGCCTCAAAAATATTAACGAAATTCAGATTTCGATTACGATTATATTTACGCACTCCACGAATGCACGCAGGCGCACTCAAACACAGAAACAAATACACATAAAAATATTAAATGCAATTTGCATTTTAGTTTCGAATTTTTGAATCTGCTATCAGCTTGCTTTAGTTATCTTTTTCCATTTATTGCTAAATATTTGTGCTTGTGTGTGTGTTTATTTTTGTTTTTATTATTACTTTGTTTTTGTTATTTTTTGCAATTTGTTGCTGAACGTGTTTTTTGCCACTTCTTCGAGTGGATCATTTAAGTTTATCGTTTTAAGTTTAAAGCTGCTCCTCTTCTTTGGAATCTTGTATATGTTCGTTAATTATAATTTATTAACAGTGAAACATATATAAGTGAAACACACCAGCGAATAGCAGAACAGCAATAGGCGTCAATTAAATTAAATAAATGAGTGCAACCGTTGAGAGCGCTCTAGCGTCATGCGCTCCTCGTCTTTTGCTACGCTCGGCACTGAGTTCAGTTTTCAACTGAACATCAACGACGACGACAACGACGACGATGCCGAACATTGAACTACATGTGTGGGAGAACTCTGGTAGAGATTCGCTCTTAGGTTGTTCAGACTTGGAATCGCCTTCGTTTACTCTCTTCGTTTACTACTGGTGAGGCAACAAGTCTATCTGAAGCTTTCTGTGATAAAACTTGGTTTCAGTAGCATCTCTATGTAGCAAAACTTAAAATTTTCATAAAATTTAATATCAATTATGTGCTTACATTTTGTTGACATCTCTTTTCGTTTAAAAGTTATAGCTACCAAAAATTTGTCTTATGCGATGGGTGAAAAAGCTTTGAGGCGGAGAAATTTCCGTTACATTTTCTCATAGCTTTTCTCGGAGTATGCTTGTTGGGATATTCTTAATTGTGATTTTCATACTATTATTTTTGCTATAAAACGAAGATCAATCAATATTATTGTATTTCTCGTAAAAAGCGAGTTATACATTAAATATTTGACTTAAAGCGTTACCGATATATCGATAATATTTTGCTTGTTAATCAGATAATCGATCATGAATATCTAAAAACAATCTGAACTGAAATTCTCAAAATTTAGTTCGTTGTACGAAATGTTTTGTAAACATAGCGTCAGTTAAACGAAGGTCGACTTTGCCCCTGCTCAGCTTAAGCGATAACAAATGCGAAAAATGTATACCAGAGAAGTTAACAATTAATTACAATTTTTATTTATCAATATTGTTTATGCCCGTCTTCTCCACCTGTAACAGCAGCTCCTGCAGCTTATTATCAAAGAGTTCACAGCGTATGGGCATCTCCAGGGAATAGAAGGGATTCTTGAGCACATAATCCGAATACAGCTCGTAAACTTTCCTTAGCAACAGATCCATGCCATTCAGCCCCGTCTCAGAGATCACAATGAACTTAACTCCAGTGAGCGTTTGAAAACAATGCAACGTGAAGGTGTCCGCCTCCAGCAGTTCGATGCCGGAGCTCTTTGGTTCGGGACTTAGTTGGCTGGCAATGGCAAACAGTGGATAGAACATGCTCGCAAGGAAAATTTTCTCATTTGTTGTCATTTTGGGTCGACTGAATTTCAGATTTATGGGAAAGTTGTCAGCCGACTCGAGAGTCGCTTTCACGTCGCGCCCATCCTCTATTGTGCCACCATTGACAGGCAGTCCGTTGACGGCGACGAGCACATGTCCGACTGTAAAATAATTGTGATTAATAAAAAAAACAGATCATTGGATGATTAAAAAATTAACGCCCACCGTTGATGCCGTCCTTGCGATTAAATGCGACGGAGACTTTCTTGGGATCGTAGTCGAGCACCAGGTCCAGCGGGTATGTGAATGTCTTTTCGTGCTCTATTCGTGGCACGTTGTTGTCCAGATTAAATATAAGGCCTCCGGACTTGCTCACTATATAGACGCCATAAATAATCATTTTGGTTTTTGTAAAAACTGGCGGCGTCAGCTGTTTTGTGTATTGGAGACACAAAACATTTTCTGCACAATCGATAAGATTTCTATCGATAGTATAACAGTGGCAGATGGAATATAATTACCACGCGCTTATAGCAGCGCTTATATAAAGAATTGGGGTTCCTTAAACTTAATTTATTTCTTCTTTTTTTGCATATCCATAATAATGTGATACAACTTTTAAGGAATAATTATGATAATTTTGAAACATCAACAGTTGATAAACTGTTTTCCAACACTATTGAGAATCTTACGCGATATTTGCGTCACAACTATCGATTGCATTCCAGTTGGCACAGCTGCTTGGGAACAACACGGCAACATAGATATGTATTGTCAGTATTAAAAATACTGTATTAAAAATAAACATTGATTATTTCCAAAAATATATTGGGAGCTGCACGCAGCAAATATAATAAATAAAAAGAAGAAAAAAGCAAGAAGAAGCTCCCAGGTTGTGACACTGAAAGTGGCTTAGTAATGGGATCCGATGACCTCAGCACGGGCGATAAAATCCAAAAGGGTTTCCAGATCAACTACATGATACTGCGCGACGCGGACACCGGCAAGGTGATCTGGCAGGAGAATAAGGACTTTTCGGCACCCGATCTCGAGCACGAGGCTCGAGTGCCCGTCAAAATACTCGACATGCGAGCGGTGTCCCGAGAAATTAACTTCAGCACAATTGAGGCGATGGAGAACTTTCGGCTCGACCAGAAGGTCCTCTTCAAAGGTCGCATCATGGAGGAATGGTTCTTCGAGATGGGCTTCGTCGGCGCCAATACCACCAACACCTGGCAGAGCACCATTGAGGCGGCGCCCGAGTCGCAAATGATGCCCGCAAAAGTCTTAAATGGCAATGTGACAATTCAAACCAGTTTCTATGACAACGAAACACTCATCACAAAATCGGTTGTGCGTTTGTACTACATATAGATAGAAATACACGAAGTTGTGTGGGCGAATATATATAGATACACGAATTCACACTCAAATACACACACACAATACACATTCACCCACTGTCAGGTGTTCGTCATATATATATTGATCTTCTGCTGCTGCTGCTGGTGTTCATTCTTCTTTCTGCATTGCTGCGAACGAAAAAAGGAAAATTCATGAAATGTTCTAAAGCGAATTGATTTTCAGCTTGCCAAAATGAGGTCAAGCTTTGCAGAACCATTTTTTGCATTTCTATGCAATTGTTTTTTGTTTTCCTGTGCTTTGTTTATAAGCTAGTGGAAAACATAGTACATTTAAATTAAACTAGACTAATGCATTTTAATATCTAATTATAATTTAAATGATTGTTTAATTTAATAATAAAGTATGAACGAATGTAAATCAAAATAATGAACAATACAGTTTATATAACAATTTTAACGATACTTGGTTTAAAAAGTCATGTTTGTCCCGAAGTACAGTGCCCTCTCAGACATTTGAATTTCTGCAAAGTGAATTATTGCTAAACATTCTATTTTGTAATTTTTAGTTTGCTTAAACTTTAATTATTTTAACAATTTTGTAAACAACTTGGAATAAATGTCTCTTATATTTGGTATATGGCAATCATGAAGCTAAAAATAAAATATTTTTGGACTTTTTGTATGGACAATTCCATCTATAATTATTGTGAAATGGAGCGAACTCCATAGTAAATTTATGCTTATTTTATGGATAGCCAATTTGACACTCGTTTACTTTATTTTTATTTTTGGCAGTGAGTAATTGAAATAAGGTAAAAAGAAAATGGTAACTGTCACACATTTTACTTTCATAATTAAGCCTAATCTTAGAGACAGCTAAAGAGACTCGTAAACAACGCCCCTGAGGCCCATTTCGAACGAGTTTTGCTTGATAAATATTTATAACCAATATACGCGAAAATCGAGTTTAGCCGAGTAGATTAAGTATCTAGAGAACTTCAAGCGAATTGTTGACGGCAACTTGACCCAATTTGAACCGAACACTCATCCCAAATAGAACCGCCACCAGGTGCCCGGTCAAGAGACACTTAATTATGCCGAGAAAGTCTTCTTTGTGAGCAGCCACGCAAGCTGGTTAACAGTTGATCTTGGACACGCACTGTGAACGGGTCAAATCATGACGAATCCACGCAGCATTCTTTTGCTGCTTCTCGTAGTCCTTACCGCACTGGCTGCCATCAACAGCGCCTCGGCTGAGAAGAATAAGAAGCAACAGCAGAGACCCAGACCAGGTCCAAATCAAGGGGTTCAGCCAAATCGACGCCAAAAGCCACAACAGCAGAATCCCCCAAAGCAGAAGCCTAATAATAACAAAAAATACAAGGTGTTCACAGCAACGCTCAAGGATTTGGGCACGATTCGCGGACGCACCTTGGTCACAGATTGGACGGGTCAGACAGTTATGCAGTTTCTAGACATCCCATATGGCAAAGCTGCGCGTTTTAAGGTAAGAACCATTTGAGAACTTTAGATGCATATACAAATGCTTAAATATTGCAAGGGATTTGTTAATATTGACTAATGCATATATCTAGTGTGGTTGGAAAACACGTTTTCTATATACATATATCTTAAATATTTCGTCATATTTAAAGCGTTTAATATACCAAAAAATAACGGGAGTTAATGTGAAAACATGTTTGTGGCCCGATTTACATATATGAAATTATAATACCCGTCAGACATAATGCGTATTCAAACATTATAAACGTATATATACCGTTGTAGAAAGCTGCCTTGGATAAATTGATGAGATATAGACATATTTTTCGTAAAAGATTTTACATAATACCGCCAACACTCAGAAAATGTAGTTTCTGAACAATATGTTGTACTTTGAAAAAGAGATTTTCTTGATTTTTTTGGATTAAATTATAATACTAAAACTTTCATTTAATCCCAATTCGAAATGTTTATTGTTTTTTATTAATGTTAGGCAGCGGAACCGGTGTCACCTTGGAAGGGCATTCTGCTAGCACATCGTCCTCACGCCGGTTGTCCCTCCATACAGGACCTGGGCAAGTTTGCCAAACTGGAGGAGGACGACTACGATATCGAGAACTGTCTGCGCCTCACAGTCAATACCAAATCGGTATAATGATAACGGATCCTTTGTAAATGTAATATTATTAACTAACTGTAAATTTAATTAACTACAGCTAGAGGAGGGTAAGCGTGCTCCTGTCATGGTCTATGTGCATGGTGACTTTTTCTATGATGGCGACACTGTGGAGGCTGCGCCTGGTTATCTGTTGGAGCGCGATGTGGTCTTGGTATCGGTACGCTATCGTCTGGGACCCTTCGGGTTCCTGTCCACTCTTACCGAGGATATGCCCGGCAATGCGGCAGTCACTGATGTCATTTTGGCCCTTAAGTGGATACAGGAGCACATCTCCGTCTTTGGAGGTGATCCACAGCGAGTGACACTCTTTGGCCAGGTGAGCGGCTCTGCACTCATCAATGTGCTGACCCTGAGTCCAGCAGTGCCAAAGGGTCTGTTCCATCGCGTCATCTATATGTCAGGCACTGCACTCTCGCCTGCTTTCATCACGGACTCACCGGTGAAGGCGACTAAGGAAATTGCCCACATCGCCGGCTGCAAGCAGCCGAACAAAATTGACTCGATCAACAAATGCTTCAATCGCATGAATGCCACCATGCTGCTGGCTGTCTTCGCTCTGCATGGAGAGAACAAGCCGGCGTTGAATGCCGGTGCCTATGGCGGTGTCCAACTGGTCATTGGCGGCCCATCTGGTATTCTGCCAGAACATCCGGGTCGATTGCTCGCCGCCGAAAAGTTCGTGGCTTATCCCACTCTGGGTGGCAGTGTCAAGCATGGCGGAACCTTTATGATGAGGGGTAAGTTATTTATTAAAAAAAAACACTCTATTTATCTAGCTAGTATTTTAAAGGAAGAATTTAAGACTTGGATCCGTAAAATCAAAAGCAGTCTTGTTTCCTCGACTCTCTGAAGGCTCACTTAATGGTGTGGTTTTGAAGTTGCTTGAAACTTTTAACTATGATTTGTGAATATCGGTATTTTAGCTTAGTAAGGGATATTGTATATATTATTATTATTTGCAATTTAAAAATCACCTTTCTGTAGACATATTTGTGGACACCTTTAACGAAAGCATATCAGATTCCAAAATGGATGGACCCAAGTACATTGATACGATTATTGAACAGGTCAATGGCGTCGATCCCTCAAGCAGTTGGCGGGAGTTTGCCGACGAGTATATTTTCGATGAAGCAGACGTGAAGAACGGCAGCTTCAGGCGCCTCACACCGGGTCTAATTGACGTAAGGAATGCTACTTAAAATTATTTCGATAAATTCAACTTAAGCTTTATTTTTTTTTTTTGACTTCTTAGCTGTGTGGCACAATTGGGCTGAAGAATCCCGTTCTCTTGACGCTGCAGGCTAATGCCAAGAAATTGGAAAATAGCACCTATTTGTACACCTTTGACTATGAGGGAGAGCTGAATCGGTATGCCACCAGCGATGATGATGCCATTGATGTGCCCTTTGACATGGGCGTCAGTCTGGCCGACGAGAATCTCTATCTGTTCCCCTGGCCACGCTTCAACATGCTTAACTCAAACAGTGACTTCAAGATAGCAAAGCGCTTGGTGTCCTTGTGGACCTCCTTCGCTGCGGACGGTGTGCCCCGGGCAAAAGGTGTACCCGCCTGGTCACCCATGAAAGATGAAACGGGACCATATATGCGTATTGGACGCACTGTCAGCTTCGGTGACAATTACCTGGACGAGTATAGCATTGCGGTGCAGGAGGTTAAAGTGGGCTATAACCTAGTCAACGATGATTATTATGAACTGGAGGCAGTGCTACGTGATGCCCTCAAAAAGGAGGATAAACTGTCTGAATCTGAAACCGAGGATGAGGAGGATGAGAATGAGGAAGCCGACAATGAGGAGACCTCTGACAACGAAGGGCGTGGTGAACATTTGGTTTTCATTGCAAGGAAATCGTTACGCTTCGTCAAAGCATCCAAACCCTCAAATTGATACTAATTTCTTATAAGCCAGAAGCTATATTTCTGCTTCAATTTAATTTATTTATCCAAATGTCAAATAAAGACTTTTTCCCATTTAGAAAAGTTATCTTCCTACGAAAAGTAAGCAATAGCAGCTAATCGTTCGGTCAGAACAGCGTTAAAATCAAAAATATATTAATATATATAAATATATAGACATTATTATCAAATGATTTGTATGTATAAATATGTAATCTCTTGAGTTGTACAAGCGGAATTCGTTAGAAATTTCATAAAGTAATGACAAATGCATAAAAGCTCGGACAACGATCGCAGAGCGAATAATGATCGCCGTGCGAGGCAGAACTGTGACAAAAATAATCAAATTTTGTGTGAAATATAAATAAATGAGTGAAGCTCAAGTGAGTTAGTTGTGTTTTAAGTTGCGTCTCGGACTGAACATAAAAGTCTTCCAGAATGGGGAAATGCATAATAGCAATTCTAATATTGACATCAATGCGATCCTTGAGCTATGCGGTACGCAACGTAATTTGTAATTAGTGAATGTTGAAATTAATATAATTAATTGACATAATTTAACACCAGGAGAAACCAACACATTTTGATTACGCGCAGAAGGAGTGCGGTAGTTATTGCTATAAGTTGTTGAAACCAATGCTGGAGCACATAGGCACCATGCAGCAATATTCGAAGACATGTAATACAAGCCAAGTGGGGAATATCCAAGACAGACTCAATCATCTCGAGGGCCAGATGGTAACCCAGCAGGAGAAGGCTGGCAGCTGTCTGACCGCAATCGAGGAAATTAAGTGCAACTTGGTGGACCAAGAGAAGCTAATCAACATACACAAAAAGAGTGTTTCCAAACCGTTTCAGAAAATCGGATCCAATTATTATTATATAGAAAAAAATACGCATATGAATTGGTTTGCAGCTGCACACAAATGCACGGACTACGGCGGTCATCTCTTAAGTCTTGATAATGAGGAGGAGTGGTCTGCATTAAAGCCACACCTCGATTTTTCAAAGTCGTTTTACTGGGTTGATATTAATGATCTTGCCAAGGAAGGCCAATATATCTCTCTAACTACTGGGCGTCCGGCACAATATATTCCCTGGAAACCCAATGAACCCAACAACGTTGGCGGGGAGCATTGCGCTCGTTTGGAAAATAACAAACAATTTCCTTTGAATGATTTGAGATGTTATGATATGGCGTTCTTTATCTGCGAGTCATTCAATAAGTAACTGGAATACATATTCGATTAGCTAATGCGAATTCTAAGTTTCACCAATAAAATAAATGAAAAAATAAATAAAATATTTGCAAATTTGTTGCGCAAAAATTAAATATATTTAAACGATAAATAAAGGACTGGCAAACTGAATAAGCAGCTTATTTATTTGCTGTTCGAGAAAAGCTGCTTAAATCATTATAACATTCATTAATCATGTGCACATTCGTTCCTCTCATTTCAAAAAAAAAAAAAATTCTGAGAAAAGTTTCACTAGCTTGGTGCCACTTCAACAGAAATAATGAAGATAATCAAAATTCCTACGTTGCAGTCTTGTATATAACATTTATTATATAAAATAATCTGTGTATATATATATATATATATATATATTTTTTGTTTTCATATGAATTCCTTTCTTATGAGCAATACTAGTGAGAGGTTAACTTAGTTCTACAAGCGTATCTTGTTGCGATTTGGACGCTTCACGAGACTCTTTCGCACATTCGACTTCTTGAGTTTGCTAGACAATGTTAAAGCTGTCGCTGGGTTCGCCGCTTGCTTCCTGCGCAGCGGACGGACCGAAGTCTTGTGTTGGGCGCGATTGCGGAGATAGTAGATCTCACGGATGAGGCTATGGCCCTCCTCCTCGTCTCGCAGTGTGGCTGAAAACTCTTTGAAGTAATTGCCGCCAATTGTGAGCGTCTCGTCGATCTTCATGTACGGGCCATATAGCGTTGTCATTGGAGGCCAATAGCCGGAACGATATGAGCCCAACGGATTGCCGCTGATAACAAAGTTCGTCCATAATTCGACCATGCGATGGGCCATCGATTCATCGGGTGGACTCAATCGTTTCACGTGTTCGGGATAGGGGAAGAGATAAAGGGCCTCATCGGTTAACGAGACGCCCGCCTTAAAAGGACTCTGCATGTTTGTCTCCTCGTCCATGTCCCGATAGCGATTGAACTCGCCCGCATAGTCGAACGAGTAGAGGAATGTGTTGTCTGGATTGTGTTTGTTGTTCATATTAAGGGCCAACAGCACTGGAAGCTTGTGGTTTAAGGTGCCCGCCACCTGAAAGATTTCATTAATATTGACATTGGTTTCATGCTGGTCATTTTAATCATTTACAATCCCGCAAGCACAAGTGCTAAAGCGAAAGTCGTCTTGCCAAATTCAAATATGAGCAGTGTTTGTAAAAATCAATTTAGCTTTCACAAAAGTCATGTTGTCAGTGATTGCGATTTTATATTGATTGGCTTACTCACATCAATTAGCCTTGGGATCAGGGTGTCGAAAGTCCCGTTCTCGAGAAGCTGACGATTGAAGAAGTCGTGGGTGACAAAGCTGGTCAACAGCATGGTCTTATCGGTGCCGACCACCTGACGTATAACGTGATCGATATAGTTGTAGGTATCGTATTCATCATCTGGTATCTTGCCCTCAAAATCGTTCTCCACAATTTCATTGAGAATACGGCTGCCCGCGTTCTTGGGACAGCCTCCCATCGCCGGATACGAAAAGTTGGACTCCAGCATGAGATCATAGGGATGCTTGGGCAGCACACCGCTGGGACCATCAATTGTGAACTGTATGCCGCCAGTGTGACCAATGCCCAGATCCGATTTCTCAAGCTAACGTAATGAATGAATTTCACAGAGCCCATAGAGTCACATAAATCGAACAATTTGAAATTTAGACTAAGTAAAAATGTAAACAAATCCACTTACCGCATGATCCATAAAGGCATTCAGCAACTCCATGGCACTGAGCTCCATCAGGCATTTGTTGAGATCTCGCACGGTAACCATCTGGCAAGCAGCTTTCTGTGCAATTTCCTGTGCATGTTTGCGCGGATTGTCCTCCAGGAAAATGGGCATAATGGCCGATCCAGAGTGATAGATAACTTGATGGAACAAGCCACGCTGCACCATCGGCGACAGTGTCAGCAGGTGCGCTATGGCCGCACCACCCACCTGACCCGCCACCGTGATGCGACTGGCATCGCCTCCAAAATACTTGATGAAGTGCTTGACGAACTGAAGAGCTAGAAAGATGTCAAGGAAACCAGCATTGCCAGGTATCTCATCGGTTTTGGTCGAGAGGAAGCCAAATGGTCCGAGTCGATATTGAGGCGTCACCAACACCACATCCTTCTCCAGCAGATAGTCGGGCGGTGCCTCCGAGTTGCTGCCCTCGTATAGGTACTCGCCATGTATGTAGAACAGCACTGGGAAGTTAGCCGTTACATTTGGAGTCGTTATGCTCATCGTCAGACAATCCTCAATGTCCATCACATCGTCCAGCTTGAGCAGTGTCTCCATCGAAACGACGGATGGACAGCCAATCTTCTCCGCTGTCGCATCCATCGTATCTTCCCATGGCTCAATTGGACGCGGAGCCTAATTTATTAATGATAGTGAATATGGGAGCCAAACAAAGAGATATTATTAATAAAAGCTATATGCAGTAAAATCAATAATAAAATCTGTGAAATTGATTAGTTCCCAATTAAGTAAGCTTTTTGAGAGATATTTTGCTCCAGCTGTCAGCAGAAATTAATATTTATGAGCTTGATAGTGATTAGCCAGATTTCTTTGTCGTTATAAAGGTAAATTTGTAAATTTGCAATGTAGGCGAGCATATTCGCAAGTTTGGCAGTAAAAGTTATCAAATTAGAAATTAATGTTTGCAAAAGAGAGCAAAATTGGGTGACTCATAACGATCCAAGAAGTACAAATCGAATTGCATAATTTATGATCAGAGGAGAAATCTCAAATGAATACAATACGTATTGGTGCTTGTTACTCTCTCATGTTATGTTATTATCATAAAGTTTAAGATAAGACATTTGAAACTAACAAATCAAAGAGATTGAATTTTAAACAGGTAGATTTCAAAAGACACATTGCTTTTGATTGTTACAAAAAACAAAATGGAAAGTTCTGTCTTTGTTTAAAACTCCTTTGAAATGTGATTCATACATACTTTGAAGCGATGCTCGCCAGTTGGTGGCTCGGCATATCGGACATCCACAAATTGTAGAACTTCCCGTTGCGTCCAAGCCGTCTCAACAATTTTGCCCTGAATGGCGCCCAATTTGGGCAGAACCACAATGGTATCCTCTTCCTCGTCATAAAGCCTACTGAGCACTCGTCCCTCCACACAGTGGAGAGCGGCCAGTGCAACGATCGCGAAGACAATCGGCGATTGCATATTGGAAGCCTGGTCTGTTCTGAAAATCACTCGGAAACGTATGAGATGACCCCGGCTGTGTGAAATTGCGACAGCACTCGAATACGCACGAAACAGAACTGAAGTTTGCCAGGTGCTGGCGATTAGATTTTAGTCGGATCGCTTTGCTTGCTTTTGCCCAGAGTAAAAGTTTCACCCCGTCGCGCATAGTTAGTGGATTGCGAATAAAGCCGAGAAGCGGAATGGAGAAGTAGTAGAAAATAGAAGATCAAAAGCGAAATGCTTTACGACTACATCGGCTGATGATGTTGTCCGGTGATATCCCATTGTTTTTCATATGTTTAAATAATTCATTATTAATTATGGTCTGCTAAAGTTTCTGGAGCGGTGTTTGGTTGATAAAAAACAAACAAAAGTAAAAGGGAAAAGGGAAATGCGACGAGCGACAAGCGGTGAACAATTTGCTAATAGCTGTAATTGCAGGTCAGCATCTAATTATAAACTAAACCAATTTTGTCAGAAAAGTTCTTAAATTTTGGTCAATGTCCAACGCTTCACTCTCCCTCTCGCATCGTTCTTTGGCCCCGGGCTCAGTTTTAACTTTCAGCCCAACAATTAATATTTACTTTCAGACAGCATCGAGAGTTTGTTTGTTCTTCTCACAATGAAAGTTGGCGCCTTGAATCGGATTGATTAGGTTCAATTAAACTTTCAGAGCTGCGGGCCAAAGATTTTGCCATTTACATTTTTTGGATTTTTAATGCGGTATTTTCAATTTTTTTGTGTATGCGTATGCACGGATTAGTTGCTACTGGTTTTGCAGCCAAAAATGTTTGACCCGCGTGCATAAAAATAAATCATTCGACGCTGTGGGTGAAAGTATTTACCTTGCCGCCATGGTACCCAAAACAAAAATGAACAGGCTCCAACGCCCCCATTAAAAGCCGAAATATGTCGACTAAGACCTCAGGCCAATGAACTTATCAGAAATATAAATATATGCGTACATACGTATATACATATATAAATGAATATGCTTAAGTGCTAAACTGAACAAACCATGTTATCACATATGGATTACACATATTTTAACATAAATTACTATATACGGCAGTCATAACTTAATAACTTCTAAACCTTGTTCGCAAATATTAATCATCTTAACATACGGATGTATATGTATATACATATGTATTTCTCATTTATACAATTTACGATATATGTATACTTAAACGCTTATATATAAATATAAATATATTTATTTCTATATATTTTTGTTCTTTAAATTCTACTAAAACACTGACCCCCATTCACCTGCTCGATTATTCAAAAACTTAATCAACACCAAACTGTGAGACAGATCTTCTCGACTATGAGATACTCTGCTAATATATACTAAAAACTTCATAAAAAATGGTTCTGGTATTTCTAACTTCATAATTCTATAATTATTATAATTATAGATATTTGTAAATGAATGATTTGTTTTTAGATCTGTTAGATCTGTGCTTATATAAATATGTGTAAGACTAATCAAGTTTTAGTTAAGTGGAAAAGGTGAACGGAGATTTGACAACAGCGCAACAACAGCGCAAGAGGACGCCTTCAATTTGGGCGTATATGGGTCACCCGATAATCTGGATCACGCAAAGTTGTTTTTTTATTTTATTTTACCTTCGAATTAGCTTTGCACTGCTTACTTTAGAATCGCATGCCAAGCAGCTAACAGTTGTGAGATTCTGCTTTTAAACTTCACTGTTCTTATTCTTACACTGCTTACTTTTTATGATAAAGCTACCCAGTTAATTGGTGTGAGTCTCGGCTAACAAGCAAATTTGGTAAATGCACTCGGATAAGTAGCTGTTTTAAACTTCGCTGATGAAGGCCAAAATCAGTTTGCTTGTTAGCAATATAGTATACACTTAAATATATGAATAATATTTATTTAAGAAATTTTTACTGTGTACATTGTTCTATAGACTATTTAAAATCGGCATTAAGTAATGGCCAGCAAGTTCTAAGACCTCAGGCGCGGATGTCTGCGCATCAGCTTAACTCGTTGTGGATAGTTGTGACCATTTGAATATTCTGGATACCTGTCAGCCTCTTCCTCCTCGCTTGCCTGTGGCCAAAGATCAGCGTTCAAATCACTATCGTCCAGTCCATAGGTGTCTGTGTCTGGCTGCGCATCCGAGCGTTGTTGTTCCTCTCTTTCTAGCTGCTCTCGTTCCCGCTGCTCTCGTTCCTGTTGCTCTCTTGCCTCCTGATCATACTCCTCCTGTGATTGCTGTTGTTGATCTTGCTCCTGGCCTGCTTCTGGCCATGGTGAAGCATTAAGGAAATAGTCGTCATGGGGCTCATATTGTGCACGCTCTTGTTCTTCCTGTTCTCTTTCTAGCTGGTGTCGCTGCTGTTGCTCACGGATGTACTGCTCCCTTGCCTGCTGCTCACGCTCCTCCTGTGATTGCTGTTGTTGATCTCGATCCTGTCTTGCTGCTGTCAAAAGTGCGCGACCATTGACATAATCGTTGAAGTTATCGTAACCGTTTTGTGGCTGAGTCAATTCCAAATCAAGTACCTGATGTTGTGGACGCTCTTGTTCCACTCGCCCCCTCGTTTCTCTGTCCCGCTGTGCTCGCTGCTCCGGTGATTCCAGTTCTTCCTTTTGAACCGGATGTTCTTCTTCCCATTTTGAGTGAGCAGCAATAAAACTCTCGAAGTTATTGAACTCATGTGTGCGTGGTTCCGCACCAGGTTCGCGGGGATGTTGTACACCCTCTTCATAGTCTTTTCGCATATTCATTAGTATCTTTCGTTTTCGCTCATACCTTGCATCTTCCTCAATTTCCTCTTGTGTACGCTGATATGGCTTGTAATCCGGTCCTGCTGCTTCCCATTCTGCGACAGCAAGCATATAACTTGTGTCGCTACTGTAGTCATATCGGTATGGTTTCCCCTCAGGTTCGGAGGCATGTTTTGCAAGCTCTTCTTGCTCTATTTGTCTTAGCTGCTGCTCTCGTTCTTGCTGATCTCTTGCCTCTTGCTCATTATCCTCTTGTGATTGCTGCTGTTGCTCTTGTTCCTGTGCTGCTCCTGCCCATTGCTCGTATGCCTTGACATAATCTTCGTAAGTAGGGAAGTTATTTGGTTCGGGTGGAGCATCCGATTGTGAAGAATGTGGTTCTTGTTGTGCAGGCTCTTGATGTTCTCTTCCTTGTTGCTCTCGCTGCTGCTGATCTCGTCGCTGCTGCTCTCGTTGCTCGTATTCTCGTTCCTCTCGTTGCCGCAGCTCTCGTTCATCCTGTTCTAGTACCTGCTTCCATCTTAACTCCTGATCGAGCACCGTCTGTGAATGCTGTTCTTGTTCTGGCTCCGGTTGCTCATCGGTAGCTTCGGGCTGTTCTTCTTCGTGATGCGGTCGCTCTTGTTGCTGCCGATCTTGTTGCTCTCGTTGCTGCTGCTCAAGTTCTTCTTGCTCTCTTGCCTCCCTTTCACGTTCCTCCTGTGATTGCTGATGTTGTTCTTGCTCTTGTGCTGCTCTCACCCACTGCTCGTATGCCTTGACATAATCTTCGTAAGTAGGGAAGTCATTTGGCTCTGGTGGTACATCTGATTGTGAGTAATGTGGTTGTTGTTGTGCAGGTTGTTCTTGTTCTCTTTCTGGTTGCTGTCGATGCTGTTGTTCTCGCTGCTGCTGCTCTCGTTGCTGCTGCTCTCGTTGCCGCTGCTCTCGTTGCTGCTGCTCTCGTCGCTGCTGCTCTCTTAGCTGCTGCTCGCGTTCCTGTTGCCATCTTGACTCCTGGTCGGGCTGCTCCTCTGAATGCTGTTCTTGTTCTGGATCCAGTTGCTCCTGGGTTGCATCGGGCTGTTCTCGTTCGTGCTGCTCTCGCTGTTGCTGCTCACGTTCGCGCTGTTGCCTTAATTCGTACTCTTTCAGTGCCAGCTCTTCTGCTGCCCATCGTTGGCGTTGATCGCGTTCGAGCTGTTCTCTCTGCGCATTCTCTTGTTGCAACTGCTCCTCTCGTTGTTGCTGCTCAAGTCTGCGTTTCTCATTTTCGCGCGCCAGCTGTTCCTCTTGCTCGCGCATCTGTTGTTTCCAATGTGCCTCCTGTGTCCTGGGATTATACTCAGGATACGCTGGTGGCAGTCCAGAATACGGCCGCCTTGTTGTTGTTGTGGTACCTGAAGAAGTTCTGCTTGTAGTAAAATACATTGGATACAGATTTGGTATATTGATGCCCTCGCCAAAGTGCTGATCCAGTTCCAAAATGTTTTGCTTCGAGTTAGTAAAACGCAAAAACGGACCGTACTCAGAGGTTGCCTTGGGCCAAACATTAGGATTAGGATTCGGAATGCCAGTCTGAGCAAAGCTCACCCACATGGCAACCAGGGCACGGGCTATCGACATATCATCGGGATTGAGCTTGCTAGTTTCCTCTGGATAGGGAAACAGATAGACACTGTCATCACTGAGCGAGGCATCTACTCCAAATGGCAGGGGATTTTTCACGTCCGCAAAGCGATGATACTGCCCACGATAGTCGAAGGTATACAGATACGCGGGGGTCTTCTGATGCGACAATCGTATCGTATCAATAACGGGCGACCGATACATTATCAGATTGCTCAGTTCGAGCAACCCCTGAGCCACGCTGTTAGTATTCACATATCGCTTCTGTTCCGGAGTGAATATCTCCTGCAGTGCCCAATCATGCCAGACTTTGTGGTGCTGTGGTGGTGCTGTATGGCGCAGAATCACATTGATGTAATCACTGAGGTTGCGCGAATTCAGATTCTGTATCTGATCATAGAAGCCTGTTGAATTAAAATAAATGCCAATTGGATTAATATGTGTGTAAATAAAAGATACATTTAAGATTAAAGATCTGTCGAATCAGTCAAAAATTAGCTATATTTCAGCAAAACTATACCATTACATAAGAAATAATCAGAGCTCATCCAACATATTTATACTCTTAATTGTGCGCCAGCAGCTTAAATATGATTTGAACACAAATAGATATCGAATATAAGAAATCTACATACGACGAGGAAATCATCAATGATAGAGGGGTACAAGAAATGTTTTAATACAAAACAAGTGCCTCCTTTTCTTCTTTTGAAAAGATGGAAGGCTCGAATACGCTATATAAAATGGAAAAGCTTACCTGACAAAATAAAGGCGCTGGCATCCTTAGCGGCGCCAACAATTAACGGTTTCGTGCTATTGTTGCTGGCGACCAATGCAGCCGGATGATTGGGTAAATAGCCCAGGCGATCACCGACGACAAGCTTAAAGCCCCCCAAAGCGCTGAGGCCCAATGGCTCATTATTTCGGAAAAGCTGCTCGAAGATCTCCACCAGCTGCGAGGTGCGCATGCGATTCAGGCATTGGTAGAGCGGGGCAAGATTCCGACCGGCGGTGGGGCAGCGAGCTAAGCTGGCGAAGGTGGCCAGAGTCTCGAGGGGACGCTCATCGATCAGATAGGGATTCAGAGCAGTGCCCGACTGCAGGATGAGCTGCTGGAAGAGATGCTGTGCCTGTGGGCTCAAGCTAAGTGCATGAGCCAAAGTAGCACCACCGGCCTGTCCAATCAGGGTTACCCGACTAGAAGCGCCTCCAAAATACCGAATATTACGTTGCACCCACTCGAGTGCCAGCTGCAGATCGGACAAGGCTACATTTCCGGGTAACTCATCGCTGAGCGCACTCAGAAAACCAAATGGTGCCAATCGATAGTTGATGGACACCAGGACCACATCGTGCTCGAGGACATAATCGGGTTGTGCCTCCTCGGCGCTGCCATCGAAGAGCATCTCGCCATGCACAAAGACAAGAACGGGCAGCTCTCGAGGTCCAGCCGGCGCATAAATATTCAGAGTGAGGCAATCGTCAGCATTCTCGCCACGCGCCTCGGCCTCCTGCAGACGCTGCTTCTCTGGAAACTGGGCGCAATTGGGACTCATCTGGGTGGCATCGATGCGACCTGCATAAGGAACAGCTCTGGCCTTCTGGAAGCGTCCCAAGCCACTGTTCACTTGAGCATAACGTATGCCCAAATAAGCATCGATGGGTCGACCCTTGATCACCTTATATTTGGGCAATCCGTTCACCTCACCCACGCCGGGCACATGAACACCACCACTTGGTGGCGCTGGGGGAGGGGGCGTGGTCGTCTTAAAAACCTCCCCTAGCCAAGGTGCTGGCCGAAGCGGCCGCGGCGTATAACTGTATATCTCATCGAACTGGGCGTGGCAAATGCCCAACACTAACAGCAACAGCAACAGGCTAAGCAGCTGCATGTTCTCGACTCCGTCGTGACTAAATTGAAACTGATTTTGATTTGGTTTGCGGACAGACTCGAGGAAATCGAGAGTTCAAACTTAATCGCCCATCAATACCAAGGCAGACCGACACAACACACACGCATTCACAGAGATAGGCATACTTTTGAGCAGTTCCAAGCTGTTCTAGTCGCCAGCTTTAATCTTGTTTTGAGGACAGTTTTTATTGCTGCTGTACGCCAGATTTGCGGGTTCCGCTTGTCGTCGCTTTGCCTATCTTTTAAAATGGTGCAAGTGCTACAAGGCTGTCACTGGATCGGAGGGGTTGGAGGTTATCTCGGCATTAGCTGGGCGATTGACTATTTCTGGTCATTATTTAATTTTGTTAATTATTAATATGTGCAAGCTAAATGTACTGAGAAATTTGTATATAATGGGATCAAAGTGAATTGATTTCATAATATCATAAATCAATCATGCCTATACAAATATATTGAGCTAAAGATTTATGGGGACTTGTGCAACACATTTTTGTACAAGAGCCAAACTTAATTAAAGCTTATTTTAATAATCATCATATGCAGATTCTAATTCTTAAAGTTCTGCCCAACTAATAATAAAAATCAGTAGTTTGTTTCATAATATAATATTCTCTATATTTTCATTTATTAATCGTTTTCGGTTCATTTTTCATTTCGTTTTGTTTCAGTATGTTTCTATAATAATATGTTATAATTAAGAATCGTCATTTCATCTAAATATTTCAGTTATAATAGTACAATATAATAATTGTTAATAATATTTTGTTAAATTTGTTTTGTGTTGCTTTTGAATTTAACACTCGAATGCGCTGTTCTCATTTATATTAGTTTCAGTTAATTGTTAATGTTTTGATCATTTCAATTCGTACCTCATCAAATTCGAATTCTAATTCAAACTCGATTTCTCATTCTGATTCCCATTCACATTCTCGCTCATGCCGATTTGATTTTTTCATCAAATCAGTTTTTGACATTATTTTTAGCCTGGGTCAGATTGCATTTGGTTTTGAGATTAAACTTGAAGAGTCACTGCTTCCTCATATATGTATGTAAGAATGTATGTATTTATGTAGGTAAGTACATACATATGTATGTGCATATGTACGTGTACATATGTATTTAAATCAGAGGACTAGGAAAGCTAAAAGCAATTGTATGTAGTATGTATGTATGTGTTCTGTGTATATATATTTTCTTCATTTCTTGTTTTGTATTTAGGTATTTCTCTTATAGATTCTGATTATGCCTTACGCCTTACGCTTAGGCAGACGGTAGCTCAAAAAAAGTCACCCAAATAAAATAATTCCCAAAAAAAAAATGTTTCAATAAAATTGCTTAATAAATTCTCAACGGCTTTACGTATTTATGGGTACAAACGTATTGTGATTAATCTTTGCCATTTTCTAAGCCTTAAATGCGTTTTCTTCAACTGATTTTGGTATCGGAAAGGATGAAACTTGTGCGTAAGTTCTATGACATACATATACATATACAATTTTAAATATACACAAATATGTAAGCAATAATGTATTTTAATACAAATACTTGAAATTATTCATCAATAAACAAATGCAGAAGTTCCGTTGTTCTGTCTTCAGATAGATCTACAAAAGTGATTAATATTCATGTCGCCGACTCAACACTTAAATGCAATTCGTTTAGGAACTTCTTAACAAATAATTGCATATTAACAAATAATTATTGTTAACTTCTTACAATAGAGATGATATACATACAAATATCGAACTAAATCATTTATTTCAAATGTGTACCGAAGTTAAACTAAATTGGGGTTTGCGTAATTATTTTGAAAATGATGATTAACCCTTTGCATTTTTGTTTTTTTGTTTTAAAGGTTCCTCATGTTAATAAATGTTTTTATTTTCCATTTATAATTTTTATTTGTAGTTCAGTCTTTTTACTAACATTTGTTTTATGTTCTTTTTTTCGTTTTTGTTTTTAATAATAAATTTTAAGAAAGTGTTTTGCAAATATTTCTTATATTTTTGTCTGAAGCGTTTGGTTCAACTAAAAATAGTGCAGATCAATATTTCTGGCGGGCTTGATTTCAAGTCTATTCAAAATGAAAACGTTGTTGTTTTTTTTTTCAATTGTAAAACATGAATAAAGTAATTATTCATAATTACAATTGTACTCGATTCCCGATATTCAAAATAGGAGTGATTAAACTGAAGGGAACACACCAACATGTTGAGCATTTCAATGGCGTTCATTATATAAAAATACTAACTATATATATAGATATATATATATAAATATATATATGTATCGATAAATATATATAGCAGCTTGCAAACAGAAGGAGGGGGTGATTTTCAAAAAATGTAAGATTGAGTTTTGTGTTTTGTTTGTGTAGCTCTATAGTTGCTTGGAAGTACCGTTCTTGTGTTTCTGTCTACATTTCGTAACTTAGTTGATTAAATATGTATACTATATATACTCGCATCTATTATGGCTTACTCAATGGTTTTTTCTTTTGCTTTTCTCATTTGTTTTGTTTTGTTTTATTTTGTTTGGTTTTTTGCGCTACATATTCAACAATTTCAATTTAAATTTAAATTCAATTTCAAATTTAAATTTAACTTACATATTTGTAAACGCTAAAGAATTCATAACATACTCTTTTCTAGCATACAATTTGTCGTATTTCCACAGATCTTTCACTGTGGAGCAGTGTGTGCTTCAGTGTGTGTGAGTGTGTGTGTGTGTGTGTGTGTGTGTGTTGGCCGAAAAAATGATGTATAGAGAAAATCGATTTTGTGTTGTGTTTTTTTTTCGAATGAAAGGTTATTTATTTGATCATTTTCAATGGATTTGTATGTCAAGTATTTACAAAGTCCCACATAGGTATGTATATGGGTGTGGTATGTGGTATTTATATATATATTTTAGATTTGTTGCGTTATAAAATCTTAACATAATTATATAAATTGATTTCTCGCAAGTGTTTAAGTAAAATGCATTGATTACGTTGCAAGTTAATAGCAGGCTACTTACAAATTAAAAAACCAAACGCTTCGTGTCGCATCTAAAACGCGGACACGCGGACCGACAACAGCCAGTTCCGAACCGGAAACGGAATGCGGTCCTGTTCCTCAGTCCGGATCCAGAGCCAGTTGCAGTTCCAGCTCGGAATACTCTAATTTAAAACGATTAGGCATTTGAATCTACAATAGTTCGCTTTCAAGTTTCATAAATAATATAGTAAATTTAATGCTTAAGTCTAATTAGTAGTTAATTCATTTTATTTGTAATATTTTTTCTGGTTTTCATCATGTTTATCGTTATGTAATGCCTTTTAATAATATACTATATGTAATCATACACATGTATGTGTATATATATTTATATATATATATTTTTTATTTTATGTAAGAAGCACTTGAATATATATCGATTTAATGATAAATGAAAATTTGGGTGTGTATGTTTAGTTTCAATCATTCTTTCTGCCTGTTCTCTACGAGTTTTTTTGTTTGTTTTTTTTTTTTTTTGTTTTCTCACTAATTTTTTAATGCCGGTCTTTATAATATTATCTTTGTTGTTTTTTTTTTGCTAAATTGCAATACGGGCTCGCTACAAATGTTTCGTACATACATAGTTCATAATCATGTTCATCTTATATGGAAAAAGTTAAAAATCTTGTCGTTTATCTTAGGTATATCTTTAAAGTATGCATCATTATCATCATTATCATCAGCATTTTATTATTAGTTGTTGTTATAATTATCATTTGCTGCGTTCCTAAAAATTGCTGCGTTACGTTTTTTGTTCATTTCATGTTCATTTTGTTTACGTTTTGTATTTATCCTTAGTACTTCATGGCATTTGTCTCACAAGTTTTGCAATTTGCAGAAAGAGTACAGAAATGAATTCTTGTCACTAGTAAAATACTTTTTAATCCTCCTTACAATTTTCAATTATTTGTTTTTTAAAAGCATTTCGAGACAATTTGTCCTATAAAGTATTTGTTTGTTTTTTTTTTTTTTCTTTAGTTTTTGTAATTGTAAGTATGTATGCATATTCTTATAGATAGTTACTATATATGCATCTTCTATGAGTGTATAGTTAATAATTTTTACTGTTGTTCGTTCTATATATATATATACTCATCTTGTTCTTGCTCTTGCTGTAGGCATACACTGTAAAACCTTTTTAATTGTAGCTTGAATCTAAATTACAATACTTGTCATACTAATAGCATGTACATATAAATACATAAGTAGAACTATGTATGTATATATATGTTTGTATATATGGTATGTAAATGTAAAGTGTATAAAAGTTAATGATCTGATTTAATTTATAAGTATGTGTATATGTATATGTATGTAGTATGTACTCGTATGTAATGCTATTCATGTAGTTCTAGATTTTAGTAGAGTCGCTAGTTTATCATAATCTACGTTTTCTTCAATTCTATGCTCTTCTTCTTTCTCTTTTGTTGTTGCTGCTGCTGTTTTTTTTTTTTTTTTTTGTAGTTGTTGCTGTTGTAATTTAAACAATTATTTTTACTTACTTACTTAATATGTTTACGTGTTGTTTGTATTGCTTTTGAAGTATTCGACACTTGATTTTCAGATCTGAGTTTTAGAAAACGAAAACGAAAAATTATATCAAAATCATAAAGAAAAACAATGAATTTCATAATTTTTGGCATAAGTGTATAATTTTGTTTATTGCAACCAAATCAGTATAATAAAATAATATAAAACTTAAATTTACAGATACATAGTTGTATGTACACTAACAAACTGATAAATGCATATGAAATATAATATAAATATAATTAAATATCAATGATAACTTAAAATGTGTCTTTGGCTCTCTAAATGCAATTAACTTAAGCTTATCAATTGGGCCAAAATAAATCAATATATATATGAACTTGCTGATGAAAACCAAATCAAAAAATACATACAAATGTGCTAGTTTCTTTCGAAATTACATGCTTATATTTTCAAATACTGTTTATTCTAAGGTTATTTGTATTTCTTCTGGTTTTGTTTTGGTTTCATCCATTTTTTTTTTTATACATTTGCTTTGATTTAGATATTACTACGCTTTCTTTTCGTTTTGCTTATTTGCAATGCAGAACGTAAAGTTCCAGTTTATTATTTTGTTTTTCTTTTTGTTTTTTTGTTTTTTGTTTTTGTGTTTGTCTTAATTCTGTGTAATCGTTTCCTTTAAGCTTTATACAAAATATCTTTTCTCATTTATTGGCTTATACTATGAAAGAGAAACGTGTTTCATTTAGCGATTTACTCTTGAATATTTGCAAAGTTTTCTATGTTAATGTTCAAATATACTTGTAAAGTCTCTATAGCTAATGTTACGTTATGCTTTTCACTATCTTTTGATCGATCACTTTATAAGAAATGTTTTTTTTTTGTTTTTTTTTTTTACTAAAACATTAGCAAAATGATAAACTTGACTGACAATTCGTCAAATTGGTAAAGTTAGAATGCATATTGATTTTTGTATATACAAACTGAGATATTGAATGAATTAGGTTTGTATTGCTTTTATTGAATAAATCAACATAATGTATACCAAGATAAAGTGTTGAAAATGATGAAAGCAACTTAAGATCGAAACATATCAGTGTTTATAGGGTGTTAGTGTAGTAAGTCTATTTAATCGCATCCACTCGCATTTCTTTACTATTTATGGCACATATCGCACATATGTACATATGTTATACATTTCTATAATGCTGTACATTTTATACAATTTATGTAGTAGTAGATCAGTTGGTTATATATATAGGCATTATTGTACTTGTATGCAATTGAAAGAATGAAGTACATATAAAAGCATAAGGCGGCAAATGAAATTGACTCTCTTGATCTCCCTTACAAAAATGATCTGTTACATTGTTCAAGCATGTATCTGAGTTTTGTAGGACAAATGATGTAGACTTATGAGCTCTTCTATGTACCTAGGTATATGGTATATATATATATATATATTCGGTTTGCTATTTAATAGTAGGTATCGTGTGTTTAGAAAGTCTACTGTTCGCCTTATATGTAGGTTGAATAAATTTATAAGCTACGTAGCCCCGCAGAGTGTAATGAAATGTAAGCTGTTGGCAGTTCCATTGAAGCTATTCATATACTAGATGTAAAGTAAAATGCACAATTCAGTTATTATTATTATTTACACAGATTGTAGTAGTTGTAATCATCAAGCAGCAATAAACAAACACGACAAAGCAAAAACAAGAACAAATTTTCTTCGGTTACATATTTGCATGTATGTAAGTATGTACTTAGTTTTGTGTGTGTGTGTGTGTGTGTGTGTGTGTTTTACGAGTATATCTTAGATTTTAAGAATTAACTTGTTTTGTTTTGTTTTGTTTAACTATTTTGGTATTTTACTTTACTTATTTGTAAATCAGTAATAAGCGTTTCGTTTTTTTTTTTCATTTTGTTCTTTTTTTTGTTTTTTTGTTTTTGTTTTTTTTTTTTTTTTGTTGTTGTTTGTTTTCATAACTTTTTGCTTTTGTATATTTTTACTATTTTTTTCGTTTGTTTGTTGTCGTTTTAAATGCAAAAATTGTATGTATTGTATAATATTTTTGTAAGTTTTAGTGTGTGATTTTGTTGAATACACAATTGTTGTTGTGTCTAATATTATTTACAAATCGCATTGGAAATCCCTAATGATTCTCGTTCAAAAAACTGTACATGTCTACTAATTTCTGAGTATATCATCATCATCATCATCATCATGTAAAATATGCCGCCGTTTTATGTGTTATGTCAATTAACAATATTTTTTTTACTTTTCTACATAGCATTGCTTCGAGCATTCTTTTGTTTTTGCTCTGACTCTTTTTCACAACAGTTTTCTTTTTTTGTTTGCCTACTCGAATTTATGCATATTCGTATAATTAGCAGCTCTTGGTATATATACATATATGTATATATGTATGTTTGTATGTGTTTAGGCTAAGTTTCTGTATAACTATTTATAAATCTTGTGTATATTTCTTATTGCTGTTTGCTGCTGTTCTGTGTAGATATATCATAAATCTGTAATAATTTCAAAAATGCGAACTATTTACTTTATATGTTTAGTTGGGTATCCCTTTACACTCTAAGTATGTACCTACATACATACATATTTTTAGCAAAAGAAAACTCATCTGTATCTCATCTGTAACTGTAGTATAAATTTGTGTTTCTATGCCACATCCATTAGCTAAGCGCCCAGATCTCTTACAAAACTTGCGTGGAGGGTTGCCTTTTAAATTATTTTCATTTCTGTAATTTAAGATCAAATGTCAAAACTTAAAATTAAATTGTTCAAATTGTCTTTTTTTGTGGGGTAAACACAAATACAAGCTGAATCAAAAATTAAAATTGTAAATATGAAATAAGAACAAATAACAAAAACACTTTGAGCAACCCTCAACTGCGGCAAGCATTGATGGATTGATTGGCAGTTCTAAGTATCTGATGTATGTGTTTGCATATTGTAGTCTTAATGTAAAGTCGCATCTAAAATTGGCATAAATTATAAATATTAACTGCAAACATTTTGTATGGCTATAAAATACGTGAGTGCGTCTGTGTGTGTGTGTGTGTATCGCAGGCTAATTTATTTTACAGAAAGTACAAATTTCACATAGTTCTATCGATACATTTGGTGAGCTATAAATGGGTTAAGATTGCTACAAGTACAGTTTAGGAGGAGTTGGATTAGGAGTGTTAGGAGAAGTGAATCACTGGAAATGTGTGAGAAGAATCAAAGCGGCTAATACATCTCATTCTCATCCCAATCGACAGACTGCAGGACGAGCTTGTCCAGTTCCTTGGAGTCACCATTGCTGCTGTTGCGCCGTCGCCGTTTCCGCTGTAGATGCGCCCATTTTCGATTCAACTGCACCATTTGTGGTGTGGCAAACATGGCTGCAGCAGCGGCACTCAGCTTTGTGGGCGTTATGGCATTCGACTTGGGCGTACCCGGACTCATGCTGAACAGCTCACGATTGCCAAAACGAAATCTGCGCGGCGGTGGCAAAGGCGGTGCGGCAACAGCACCCAAACTATCGCTGGCCAATGCCAACTGTGGCGTATCGTATGGCGGCGGCGGTGTTATCATAGCCAGCGATGAGGTGTCCACTGCATCCAAATCCAAGACATCGTCGTCGTCGTCGTCTTCGTCATCTTCATCGGAGTGGGCATGTCGAAAGAGTGCGTGGGGCGCTGTTGGCGAGGGCTCGTATAGTTCGTATGAAGGTGAACGTGGCATGAGCATAAAATGAGCATCCATTGGATCTGTCGGTGATTGCGGCTGTATGGGCGTTACGGGCATGGACTTGGCAAGCTGCTTGTTGGCCAGGATTTGCTGTTGATGTTGTTGCTGTTTCTCCTGGTGTTGTTCTTGTTGTTGCTGGTGTTCTGTGGACGTTGGTGTGGGTGTGGGCGTGGGCGTGTGCAACGCCTGGATGAGTGGCATCGATTTGGTGTTACATATCAATCAATCACGGTAAATGTAACTGCAATTCTTGGGGCTCTCCTGTGGACTGGGACTGCTGGATGGCGGCGCTGGACTGGAGCTGCTATTTGACATTACTGGCGATGAGCCAGAGCTGGAGTGCGTCTGTGCCTGTGGCTGCTGTGGCTGCTGTTGCTGTGGGCTATTTGAACGGTGCTGAGTTACTGCAATAATGTAAACGGAACACAAAAAAGAAACAATGTTAGGTCAATTGAGTTCAGCTGTTTGAAGAGCACTTATGCAAAGTCGCAACACACACACACACACACAAACAGGAGGAGAGTGACTCAAAGAGAGAGAGAAAGAGAGAGAGAGAGAGAGAGAGAGAGAGTAGCATGTTGCAACAACACAAATATAATTGAGGTACACATCAAATACGTACACACAAATAGTGCAAACATACACATAAATTATTATTGTGTATACAACATTTAATATTTATTTTTCTCAAATCTATTTTAAACAAGTTTAATGTAACATTGAGTTCGTTGCAACATGCACAAATATACAAATACACAGACACACCCGCTCATACGTAGATACAAAATATAAGTTATAAATAAATTAAATAAAGAATATTTCTTATTGGGAAATTTAGTAGGGAAAACCATTGTTTTGTCTGTTAGCTCTTTAAATGTATTTGAAGAAAAGCCCTAAATGAACAGTCAAGTATTTCTTGAGAGTTATTTTAACGTACATATAATTATTAATTTATAAATATTGTCAAACGAAAATGTAAAATAAGTTTAGAATTTGAATTTTTGTTAATTCACTTTTTTCTTATAAGAGTCTTTTTTTCGAGTCGATCAGCTACATTTGATGTGTCAAATTGTTGGTAAATTGGCTAAAATTAAAGTAAAAACTACAGCACTGGTGTCTGATACATACATATAGACAGCAAGGCAAAGACAAAGACAGAGATAGAGATAAAGAGAGAGAGAGAGAGTGATAGTCAAGGACAGCGAAAAGGACAATTCAGTTCGAATGCAGAGAAGCGTTGGCCTTAGTGTAATATGTGTATGTATGCGACTTAATTAAAAAAATGTTCAACTGAAATTTGGAAATTGAAATGAAAAATGAAAATGATAAACTTACCGATACCGTGACGGGGCGGCTGTCTTCTTGCGCGACCAAGACTTCTGTTTCGTGTGTTTGTGTTGTTTACAGCCTAGGAGTGGTGATATAATTTGTTTTATATATTCTCTTTTCACGTTTTTTTTTTGTTTTGTTATTTTTTAATTGGTATCATTTATAAACGAAAATTGCTAAATTTTGTATTGTATTTCAAATAGAGAAATATGAAAGAAAAATCAACTGGAAAATTGTTTTGCATTGAATTTTTGGCTCGAATTTGATTGATAATCAAAAACCATCTTTAAAGATCGAAATCAAACTACATCTAAATACTTAAAACCAAACGTATAAATTCCAATATTCAGTTGTTTACTCAGCTCAGCTCAGACTATGATCGTCATTAGCTCGGACAGACTTGAACAATAATTTTGCAAAATAATTACATACATTTCTTATTTGTTGCGTATAATTTGATATTCTGATCTTTAAAGTGCAATTTACTCGAAATATCAGTGTAATATTTCAAGAAGAACCTAAACACGTTCTTATTTTTTAATTGTGAGTAGTAGCAGGCAATAAACTGAAAATAGACTAGTATTACAAGTGAGTAAATTACGAGTACTTCTATATATGTTTGTTGTTCTTTTGTGGTTGGTTTGGTATTAGGTAGTATTTTGAGGAGTGTTGCAAATACATTAACATAATCATATATTGTGAATATTTTAAGTATCTAAGCTCAAATGCACACACATTCCTTGGCTAATGGTTGCTTATCGGTTTTATTTTGGATCAATGGATCGGGTGTAATATATAACTAATACGCCCATGCAGAAGTAGAGTTCAAGAGTTCAAGAGTTGCCAACCTATGCAAGTGTGGATGAGGAGTGGGTTACAAAGGCTACAGGCACACACAGCTCATACACGCAGAGAGATGGAGAGAGATGCACGCATACAAATAATCGATGATCAATTATCGATAACCAATTATCGATTATCGACTATCAATGGCACAGGTGTTTGGAACCCTGCCGCTGGCAAAAGCAACGAAGCCTCGAGTTGGGCGCGGGCTGGCTGACTGATTGACTGATTGTCTGATTGACTGATTGAATGATTGACTGACTGGATAAAGCCGTTCGGATTGGGGATCAATAATTTTGTCCGAGATAAGCTGAGTATAATGAGTATAATAAATAATGGTTCGCGGTCCGTTCTCGAGTAAAGTACAGAAAAACTAACAAAAAAAAAAATGGCATTCCAAAACGTAGTTTACAGTTATTAGTGAGATAAATCAAATTTCGCAAAAAAACTGTGCTGGGTGTATTCTTAATAAAGTAGATGATATTAAAGAAGAAGATTCGTAGGTGTTCAAACCAAATTTTGCAGAGAATATCATAATAAAAATTGTAAGCAAATTCTTTTGCTAATTTACTTTTGAGTTTCGAATTTCAGTTGATCTTGAAATCGAGGGTATCCACATTGCAGCTATAGAGCAAATTTTGTCAGCCGTATCAATAAATGAATCAATAAATTAAAATAAAATTATAATGTTTAAATAACAAGAAAAAAAGAAGAAGAAAACCAACACAAAATGGAAATAAGGAAACAAATTAACTAAATTTTCTTTAGTTATGCGTAGGTATTTACCATATTTTGGGTAATTAGTCCCTGACTGGTTTCAGCCGCCCCACTCCCGTCTCAAAGGTAAACCTAATGAAAAAAGGGAAGAAGAAGAAAAGATAGATAGAGATTTGGTATTTTGGTTGCTTGTTGTCCACATTTGACAGTTTGACAGCTCAACTATCAATTCGACAGTGTTCGTTAGAGGTGGATGTGATTAGAGTGTGGATGTGTTTTCGTGTGTGTGTGTGTTTTGAAAAGTAGTTCAGCAATAGAAGTTATTTAGAGTAGTATATAAATGTCTCAGAGCAGAAATTCAACTATACAAAATGCTTAGAGAGACGCCTGCAATAGACTCGCAATCGCCCATTTCGAAAGATTGGTGTATTTCTAGAACGTCAGCGAATATCGTACAAATAACAAAACCCCAGACAAAAATAATCAAGTCGAGAAACAGATTGATGGAACAATGTACATGAGATATAAGTATATATATATATATATATGAGAAGGGTGAGCATGGGCATGCATATGGACAATGGTCTTGATCCAGTTTATATATATATACACAAGGGTCTACAGACACTTATCTATAGTCCAAAACTATGTTAAATGGATGAGTGAGTGGGCTACATATATAAGATGATACATATACGATATAATATGATTTTTAAGTTGATTATGATTGTAATAGTGAGCGGCTGATAAACATACATATATTCATAAGTATTAAGTGTTTATAGAATTATAATTTATGGAGAAGATATTGGTTAACTAATGCTTTGTTAATAATAAACAACAAATTGACTCAAAATTAAATGCATTAAACTGATTTAAATAAATCAAAGTAAAGGTATAAATATTCGATTAATATATTATAAAAATAAGAATACAGTTTTTGCTTAGTCAAAATTACAAATAAACTAAAACAATAAATCAAAATAATGACGTTTAAATAGTGGATATGCTGCTTTGATATGTCAAAGCATATAGAAATGCAGTAAAAATTAATAAACAAATCAATTTGATTAATAACATGCGGCTAATTTGTGATTTGAAGCATTGCAAGTCTACAAAATCAAAAACAAGTTGAAAAGTAATTGCAAAAATGGCAAGTCTACAAAATCAAAAAAAAAGTTGAAAAGTAATTGCAAAAATGGCTGCTGTGAGAGGTGAGCATGAGATTAGTTCTATATTACACAGATAGATATATATATATATATAGGCACACACTCACAGAAACACACACACACACACATACACGCACACGCACACACACACAGATAGATAGATAGATGCAGAGATGGAGACACAACAAGTTGAAGAGTGAGTCTAAGAAATACACCAATCGACGATTGAGTGAGAGTTCAATCAAATACAAGCGCACCACAAGGATTCGTTTTTAGTATATACTAAATGTCAAAATGTCAACAACATCGAAAAGAGATCAATGGATACGATTAGAATAGAGATTAGTATACATTGAAAATGAAAATGAATAATATATATATATATATATTTGAAAACATTTACAACAGGCACTACGAAATGCGACAACTCACCTTCTTAACGCTGCGAGTGGTTGAAAAGCCATCGCCGCGTCTATAATTATCGCCCTGCAATGATAAAATCGAATGAGTATCAAGTTTCCCTCAAATGGAAATGGAAATGGAAATAAATTTGTGGGTTTTGGGACTCACCATCACCTGGTGGGAGCGCAACGTGCCAAAGTTGTCGCGTCCGCGATATGTTTGCTGGGTATTATAGCCATCCGGCTGGAACTGGAAGAGCGTTTCCGAGTTGGGGCCCTGGTGCATCTGTTGCATCATCGGCGGCTTGCGTAGCGTATTCTTCGGCGAGTGCATCTTGTTCTGCGGCGGTGGCTGTGGCAGCAGCACCGGTTCCGCATACGTCACCTCCTCAACCTGGGGCAGCAGCTTCGGCTCTTGCTGTATGCGGCACGACGATGGAAAACTATTTGGCCAAAATCAATGCAAGTTTTAGTATAATTTTAACAAAATACTTGCTGGTAATACTACTCTAATATTTTTTAGAAATTTCACAAATTCTTTAGTTCACCTGTTCACATTCTGGCGCTGCTCAAAGTATTCATATTCTGTGTCAGGATATGGCAGATTGTCATCCTCGTCCTTGTGGCAGCGTCGACCACAGAAGTAGCCCGTAAAGAATCCCACCAGCAGTGAGAATATCGAACCGGCCAGCACGGCCATCACCAGAGTCTCCACTGTATATTGAGCATTGATAATATCTGCGGAAATTTGTGGACCTTTGATTAGTGAATGGACATATTTATCGATAGCGAGTAATCCAATATACGATACGATTTACAGTTTTTTTTATTGAATTGATACATCGAACATCAAATTGTATGTATTAAAAATTGAATTTTTTGTTTGTTTTTGGAGTCATTTTTGCAAGTAGGATTACGGTTACGTATAGAATCCGTATTGTAACGACATCAATAAACATCCAAACATCGAAACATCGAAACACCGAAACATAGAACGAACAACGCCCAAATTAGCGCGTGTTTCAACAAAATGTTGAAAGATCAATAAATGAAATGAAACAAGAACAAGAAGTAGACAAAACCGAGTTAATACAAAGAACAACAACAATTTTTGTAAATTTCTTTTACATTGTATATACATGAAGGTCTTAATTTAATTATTAATTATATTAGTCCAAAATAAAGCTAAGTGAATGAAGATGATGACAAATGTGGATTAATCTGACAAATTAACTAATTTAAACCCATAAAAGAGAAATATTGTTAAAAGTATGTCAAATTTTGATTTAATTACTATCAAATTTGTTAAGTCAAGTAAAGTTATAAGAATTTCTAACTTTAAAGTACTGCACAGATGGGGGGAAAAAGTCGAGCGAGTTTATAATTGATAACTGATAATTAGAGAATTTGCATTTTATAATTATTATTTTTTGTACATAAAATTGTAGGTGCATTAATGAAAGACTGCTTAAAATGTGATAAATTCCGCATTTGAAATTCAGGTAGCTTAGCTCGTTAAAAACAAGCATAAAATCAACAATAATACAAAAGTGCTGCATGGAAATGGGGAAAAAGAAAATGCAATAAAAAAAAAGCAGCAAAAAATGAAAATATGATTACTGTCTAGCTACATTCAAGAATATAATAAAGCAACTAGAATAAAGTGCAGGGCAAATGTTGATTGAAATTGAAAAGCATAAAGTGGCAATATGCAAACTGGGCGGGGAAAACAAGCAGAAGGCAGTCAGGCGACAAGCACCTGGCATGCAAAAATGAGTGAAAATAAAAAAAATAAAAAATATGTGATTTAAAAAAGGACAACAGACTGGTAAATATGTGGGTGGCTAACATAAATACTTGGATGACATATGTAAATATGTATACAACTCATGCAAAGCACATATATGTATTTATTTATAGTGGAATATGGCAGGGAATAAAACATTTTTCGGATTTACCTTCAAAGTTCTTATCGATGTTGTCAATGATTTCCTGATCTTTGCTCTGTCGACGCGAATCCAGCAAATCCATGTCGTTGCGGAAGCCCTTCTGCTCCCCCACATTGGCATCCTTTGAATTTATTTTGCCTAAAGGACATGGCAAGAATTTGAGATTTAATTTGTGTGGCAGGCAGGCAGGCAGATGCTGGTCATTTGTACTTACCTGAGGGGCATGCCGCATGCTGACCCGTTGCCACATTCTGATAGAAATAGTTCTCCTCCAGCCAACGTGGCGCCCCATGGGAGCGACACTTGCCAGCTATTTTGTCCCAGGCACAGTACGGATCCTGCAATGCGACGCATTCACTACAAAGAGAGACAGAGAGAGAGAGAGAGGGAGAGAGAGAGAGAGAGTGGGGTTAAGCGATGCGATGGTGTAAACATATTGCAAATTGTGAGATGTAAAACGCCATAAATGCGCATAAAATGCTGCCATATTGCAACAGCAACTGCAGCAGGCTGAGTGGCCAGAACCCCCAGACAGATAAATGCCAATGACACTAAAGTTGAGAGGAGAAAGAGCTGCAACATCAATTCCCTCCCCTCTCTGTCTGTCTGTCTGTCTGTCCGTTCGTCTCCCTGTCTGACAGCAGCCAGTCGATGCATGAAAGTCACGCAAATTGTTACATGAAATAAAAATGTCAATGTCTGTGCTGATATTGTGAACTTCTCGTCTCTCCATCTCCGTCTTTTTATTTCATTGCTTCAATCTGTTCCACATTTTGTGAGAGCTGTATTCAATTTTGTTTCAGGTGTGTCTGTGTCTGTCGCTTACCTGCAGCTGGTGATTTTGTCGTTGTGACATCGATGCAGTTGTATGGCTATCACTTGACTATCCGTGACAATGATTAATTTGCCATCGTCGTAGCTGCCATCTTTCGGTTGATCTGCGAATTACACACACACACACATATATATAAATATATACAATTTACAATATCTGCTCGTTACACATTTCTTTTTAATTGAGTCCCATTCAACATTGCAGCACCTGGCTGCACTTACCGTATTGCATCGTTCGCACAATTTCCAAATTGCGAATCGGTTCACTTTTGGGCAGCACATCGATCTCCTCAATCACCACCGATGTGACCTTTTCCGCCGAGTCGGCAGACTCAGCATTTACGGATTTTATGATTTTACCATGATCTAATTGAAACGTAGAAATGTACAAATTTAACAATGTGTTTAACAATTTTCTTTTACAAAAATCGTATATATATAAAGTTCTGCTCGAAATGTTAATGTCTGCTAAAAATGAAAGCTATGCGAGTCTTAGATTAAGGGTTTCTGGTTAGTTATATGTACAAATAAGTAAGTAGAGCTTTCGATATAGATATTCACACAAATGTGTCAAGGTTACTTTTTACTAATTAATATCTGTACAGACATAAGCCATACAACCCATCCATCGCATATGCATAGGGTATTCAGCGTATATGGATTCCATGGAGCATATCAAGCAATGCTATCAACTCTAACGACAATCACTGTCAGAACAATTGGCCCGGGAGCCCCGTCAACTGTCCATGCCTCACCTGTGCCAACGAAAATCACATCATATGTCTTGCCGCCGGGCGTTTTGATCTGAGCATCGACCGCAATCTGTGTGAACCGATAGCTGTAAATGAAACACAGAAAAGCGGATAGTTTAGAATATGATTTAAATTTAAATTTAATACGTTTCGTTAGAGATAAACAAAATAAATGTAATTCTTAGGATAAATATTCATAAATGCTTAAAACTATGATCATTTGAAAGGAGTTCAACATAAGACAAATATATTCTGAGTGCTTGGCAAATGTATTAGATAAATAAATAAAAATGCATTTATTACATTAGACATAATTGGAAAAGTGCAAACTCTTGTTGGCCAGTGCTGTGCCACAGAGTATTTAGCCAGCTTTGAAATCGTATGCTCAAATTGAACCGCAAACAACATGTCAATGCTGCCAGCTGAATGACACAACAGGAAATTCTGGATGGGCGGCTGGCTTTTTTGGTTAGACACCATTAATAAAGGAGAGACGCCAAAAATGGCCGCTGTGAGCCGTGCAGAGGGCAAGAGTGACAAACAGAATGGCGAAAAACCACAACAGCGGTTGCAACAACTACGACAGCATCAAGAGCAACTACAACTACAACAGTAACAGTAATAGTAGCAGCAGCAGCATCAGCAGCAGCAGCAGCAGCAGAACACACATCAACATCAACAATGTATTTGTATGTAAAAACATATTCGAGCTAACAACAACAGAAGACATGAAATAAAAACGGAAATTTCTCTCTGATTTCACCACAAAAATGTTGAACGTTAGCGTTTTTACTGTTGTTGTTGTTGTTGTTGTTGTTGTTGTTGTTGTTTTTGTTGCAGTTGTCCTTGTTGCAGGCAACATTTGTGGCTGTGCGCTTGGCTGCCTTGTCTATTGTTGCTTCCATGTTGGTTTTTGTGCAACTGTTTTATGAATGTATTTGTGCCTCAGTGTGTGTGTGTGTGTGAGTTGCTGCCTCTATTTAAATGCAAATGCTCGCCATGCACGAGACTTTGCCAACAGTAACAGCAGCGGGTAAAAAAAACCCAACGGCAACATCCACAATAGCAAATGGATTCAACTGGACTGGAGCCCAGCCCCGCACCCGCAACCACCCCCTTGGGCTGAGGACTTTCTGCATTGTTTTATTGTTAATTAACAAATCTCGTTTTCAGAGTTTTAGTTATGTTGCTCAATTTTCTAAATGGCTAAAGAATTTCCCAGCTTTTTGCCTTGTCCAGCAAATGACTTAAATGGCCTCCATTTTGTGATTTTGTGATTTCTGTTGCGGTTGCCTCGTTGGCGCATGACAACAATATGTGTGCTTAAATTAATCACAACTGAGATTTGGCAATACAAAATACAGATACTAATGCTGTTGCTGCTGCGACCAGATTGCTTAAACAGAAATTGTAGTTGAAAGAGTTGCGCATTGTGTTTAAAATGTAAGAAAGTCCAATTATTGATTGCATTTAATACGTTAAAAAAGGATCAACTATTTTCAAATCAAACAGTATGTTATGAAAAGTTGATGGTATTTAATTTATTTTGAATTTATGATGAGTCAATTATGAGTAACAAGAAGCAAAACTGAAAGCATTGGCCGAAAACTGATACATTGCTACTTAAAATAATCGTTTATTAGTCAGATAGAAAGTTCACAATTTGTGGCCAAGAAATTTTAAGGAACGGTAATAAATGATTTAATGCAATGCGAGCTAAAAGCAAAGTTGAGGCAGCTTATAAATTAATCCCAACGCAACAAAAGCAAACGATCAAAATGAAATGAATCTAAACTTGAAGCGAGCAACAAGGCAACAGGACGGGGGTAAGTAGATGAAGGCAGGGGCAGGACATAATCCCAATGAATTGCAATGCAAAAGTGCTGCCAAAAACTTTTGCTAGCCGAAAATTACATAAATGGAAAAGGCCAACGCCAGCAGCACGGAAGACACAACAAAGAAATAAAATAAAATGGAGACACATAAAAATAAAATAATACAAAATAATAAAAAAAATAAAATAAAAAAAAACAAAACAAAAAAAGGAGTAAAAAGAAAAGGACACTTTTAGAGAGGCAGGTTGGGGTCTGGGTTTTTGGGAACGAGTCCAAGCAGCTGGCAATTGAAACTTGCACAATTTTTGCCAACTTTTGTGTCGCTCCGTTGAGCTTAGCCCAGGCGATGCTGACACGAGCAGCAACAGCGACGAGGGTCACAACTGGAAGTCAACTCCACTCGCAATGGAATGAAATTAGTGCGTCAGGCCTGGGCTGGGGCAGTCGGTGAGTCGGTGAGTGAATGAGCCGCCGGGCAAGGACATGCATGATAAAGGCCATGACAGTAAAAGTGGCAGAGGTATAAAAACTTGAGCGATAAGATAAGCGCACAAGCACACAGACTGTAGACAACAGGCAGCAGGCAGCAGACAGCAGACAGAAGACAACAGACTCATTGTGGCTGGCACCTTGGCTGGTACACAATGGCTGGTCAGGATTTGGTCAACCAGCTGGCAGAAATCTGTCGAGTATGGATACTTCCGGGGTCGAGCAGGAAACAATTTGTTACAGAGCCGGTGACCCCAGCGACTTGCAACTCTTGAAGCATTTAACTTTTGCCGAGATGCTAAAACTTTCAACTTATAAGAAACTTTATTGTTGGCGCGGTGGCAACTCTACACCCCCCCAAAAATCCCCCTCATCTCGCACTCTGGTCTATGCAAATGAGTATCCTGCGGTGTGTATGTGGGTGTGTGTGTGTGTTGGTGTGGGGTGGGTGGGTTGTTGCTAAAGCTGGCAACTGGCACAGCTACTTCTATTTCATACAGATTCATGGCCCCATTTTCTGATTTATTTATTTCCAAACACACACACACTTCCAACTGTGGCCCCCTAGCGTTTGGCTAAAACAAAATAAAATTATAATAAATTTATGCCTCAATAGCAAACGCCATAAATTTTGTGCATTTTTGATTTGATTTCGGCATTTGTGTTCAATAATGCCAGCAACAGGGACGGAAACAAATTCCCAATTTCAATCCCTTTCCCACTTCAAGTTCCACTTTCAAGTGTACCTTGCCTGTCCCGTTTGGTCATTTTGTGGTATTTGCTGTCAAACTGATAACTGTTTGCATTGTTTTCATTTAAATATATTTCAAATATATTTGATCAACAAATTCAATTGGGCTTAAGAGCTTTAACATCGTCAACTATACTTTAAAGGATCTGCCCCGGCCATTTTTGTGTCAGTCCGCTCAATAAATGGCAAACGAAATAATAAATTTGTCACTTAAATTATTAATGCAATATTATCAAGAGCAACTCTTGTTTAAAGCTAACAAATATATTGTATCTTAAATAATTGCAGGCAAATTAATACTAAAATAACTAATTCTGTGTGTAAAGTTGTCAATCCAAGTTGAAGATGAATATAGATTAAAAATAGAGTTCCGCTTATAAACAGATTTTCACAAGCAATGATTTTTTATTCGTATGGTTTTTTATTACCTAAAAAGTTCATATGGAAATGGGTTCTCAGATTTGGAGTCTAACTAGTCAAAAATTCTCATCAAAGTTGGTTTCTTCAACTAGTTACATAATAATTTTCTTTCTATTTTCGTTTGGAAGAGTTGTCTGCTTGTACAGCTGTTATGCCAAACAATTCTAACTAAAATTCATTGAAATACTTGATTTTTTTAGATTATAATAAAGTTGAAGAAAATGGCATTTTCTCATTAAATGCCGAATATTGAGTTCAAACACATCTGGTAGTCTCTCTCGTCATCGTTATGCGAACAAATGGAAGCTATCCGAAATAGTTGGAAAGTTTTTCAACTGTGCCACTTAATGCTGACAAATGCAACTGTGAGTGGAGGACTGCATTTGTGCCTGACCGACTTACGAGTCTTACGAGCCAGCCACAACTTAAGTGGGTCGCTTTATAAATGTGTTAGCCAATTCGTGTGTGGTAACTTTTGTGCTTTTCAATTGCATTGCTGGCATGATTAAATTCTGATGCGTGTTCGCTGGCATTTGGCCCTATTGCCAAAAACGCAATGAGTCTGTTGCCCGTGTAGTGTGCGAGTAAGTGGCCAAAACGAAGCCGTAACCATCACCAACACCAACACCAACACCAACCCACTCGTCTCTGCGTGCAGCATCCACGCAGGAACCACGCAACCATTTCGCTAATGCCGCTGCTGCTCACCCGCACTCACATTTGTTGTGGTCATGTGCTCATGTGTGTGGCTGGCTGGGGATGGGTTGGATGTGGATGTGTAGAGTCAGCGTAGTCAACGTTCCTGTCCTACGTGTTCCATATTTCATTCTAATTTATTCAGTTGTGCATACATATTTTCGTTACGGGTTGCCTCGGCGCATCCATGCATTTCCTTCTGGCTGGCTCGGTTCGTTTGGTTCAAACTATCGCTTGACTGCGGCAACAACAGTAGCAGCAACAGCAGCAGCAACAACAGCAGCAGCAAGAGCAGCCACAGAAGGTGCCGTCGGCACCACCCGTCCGGCTCTGTCCCCTCTTCAGCCCCCCTACTTGGCTGCTGCTCAGTGGCTCGCATATGATTTACTCTTTAAAGTTTACAGCACCCCATCTCAACAGACCGTAATTGTGGCTCAATTACATGGAAAAGTTGCCAAATTGAATTTTTTTAAATTTCTACATGTCTGAGTGGGAGAGTGGTAGAGAGAGAGAGAGCGAGAGAGAGAGAGAGAGAGAGAGAGAGAGAGAGTCTTGACAATAATTTATGAGCATGCAGAAAAGTCGAAGCCCAAACAAGCAGCTGCACCATGGCTGTGCAACAAGAATGCTCCTCTGGCCAATTGCTGTTTGGCTAACAGCAGGTTGAAGTCTTGCCTTAAGCACCCCAATGTTGTGGCCCCATGTGTGTGTGTGGTTGTGTGTGTGTGTGGTTGTGTGTGTGCTATATCTATATCTACTTGTGTGGTGAAATCATTTCTTTGACTCGCAAACAGCTCGAGTACTTACAATATTTTATTATCGAACTTTTAAAGCTGTGCAACAAAAATTCAACCGAATGTTCGCCCTTTGAAAGGGCATCGGAAATTGTACAAGATCAAGCGTACACAATTTCAATGAATTGCTTTTTTCAATTTAATATTGATTTTTACAACGGAATTTTTAACAATCAAAAGCCTTTTCCAGCCAACTGAAATCTCAGACACAAATATTACGTCACAGCCAGCAAAATGTGTAGAAAACATAAGAAGAATTTATAAAAATGCCTTTTTGCTGAATTATTGATAATATTATCGTTAGACAATTTGAATGGAAATTATGCCGTAAGTTATTGAAGATGAAAAATTAAGTTTATCCCTAAAAAAAGTGAAATTTTTTCCAAACTCTGCCAATAAATGAAATCAGTCCATTGTCAAAATTTGAATGGCAATCATTAAATTAGATGAACAACCAATTGCCACAAGAGTATTCTGCATATATCAAACAAATCCACGCTGTCGACTTTGGAATTTATATCCCCCCACCCGGAACATGGGACGAACATTGTATACGTGCTGCAGCAGCAACGATTACGGCCGTAATACGACATGTGAAAAGTTGTAGCATATCGCATGGCATGGAATTTGTTATTTAAATGAAATTAGTTGAATTGTGGAGCACTGAAATTGGCTCGTCACGTATTCACTTGGCTACATCCGCAACCGCAGCAGTTGCAGTTGCAGCAGCAAGTTGCAGCTAAAGTTTTTACAATCGACACATGGAATGTTTACTCCCCCAACCACTCTCAGGACTTGTTATGAGAGAGAGTGAGAGAGAGGATAGTTTTGGTCCTGGTTTCATGCAATAATATTTACATTGCGGTACGCTTATTCGGGAGGGGCTGCAGTTTTCAGCTACTTCTGCGATGTGCACACGTGGCTATACATTAAATATATATATATATATGTTTTGTTACTTACATTGTGCTCGTCCGCACCAAAATCGGTTGACCGAAAAATGCCGGAACATTCTCGTCCATTAGCGAATGTGTTTTGATGAAATTTAATGTTGGATCCGGAAGTGTTCGTGAATCATTGTGACAGGCACCGGGACGCGGTTCGGGAACCTACAAAAGGCAAAAGAGAAGAACGAGAAATATAAATTATTAGTATCCAGTGTAAGATGGCACTATGGTTATAGTTATGGTTATGGTTATGCTCGGTCAGTTATTTCCTAACCCTCCCACTGCTCGCCCTGTGCTCCTGTAAGTATCTCTCATACTGGACACAAAAAGGAGCGTATAAATTGCATTTGCTACTCTCGCGCCGTACACAACAACGTTCCGGAAATTGCACAGCACGGCCAAGTGCAGACGGACAAAGCATCACCGGAAAGTGTCCCTTGTGCTACAGTGTGTGCATGTGTGTGTGTCTGTCTGTGCGTGTGTGTGTGTGTGTGAGACTGTCTCTATTTGGTTTATGAATCACCAGCGAAAAATGCAGGTTCAGTTGGCTGTTGAATTGGCTGAATTATAAGTTGAGTATGGAAAGCATTAAGTCAGCATTCATAGAAGTATCTAGTTTATATAAGGATATCTACTTTGTCGCTCAGTAATATTAAATATTAAAAGTTGCCATGATTTCAAAAATCCTTTCTTAACCAATGCATGTCATTTTGGTTTCTTTGATGACATATTGCAGTCCAGTAAATAACTGAGTGCCTCCAGTATTAAACATAGTTTTTCTTAAATGTTTAGACATCATTTCATATTTTTCTGATTTGCCAAGTATTATTGTTGTTTTAGGCACTTGCCATAGTTAGTATTAAGTCTATGCATATCGATAAAACTTGTGCAATCCAACTGGAATAAGTGAACCATTGTAATAAAAAAAAATTAGCTCACTTTGTGAACAGTTTCACAGTTGTCAATTTCAAACTTATCTGGAGGTCATATTAAAGTTTAGTGCCAGCTAAGTTCTTCCTATTTGCAAATATACACACACATCAAAAACAAATTGAAATTCTCAACGAAATTATATAGTCTGTGTGTCTAGCGGCAACAGCCTGGTCTGGGAAGTGCACTTTAATTGGTATATATTAAAAGTTTAATGCATTTCGGAGTGTGGCATTTGTTTCGACTTTTAAACATTTTCAATTTCTAATCTGGCTTTTCTTGAACCGCAAAATTGTGCAGTTTTGTGGTGGTTGACTCCAGTCAGACGCAATCCGTTGGCAACGTGTGCAGTCAGCTGGGTCGAAGCATTCTGGGGCGCAGAAACCATTCGTAATCAAATGCAAATTTTTGGCAAAAGAAATGTGCTCTCTGCTGCCAAAGCTGGACAAATTTGTGTGGCCATAAATTGTGAAACAGCTGCGTTCAAACTGCTGCTGCTACGTTCTAGACGTGAAACTTAAGCATTAACCAGCCGGCATAAATAAGATTATATATTGGTAACTGAAATAGTCGTACGCACCTTGGCATTATTCACTGGCAACCAGTTGGAGTTGATGCCGCTCTGTTCCTTGAACTGTCCCTCAAATGTGTCGGCAATGTCCTGCGGATAACAAAATTAAAGAACGAGAGGGATAGATATATATATATATATATATATATATATATATAAGATAGATTGAAGTTTAAGGATGCCGACGTAATTGTGCACTCACCTGCAAGGCGAAAGCACAAACCGCTGAGCCGGGAATTGAATTTGTTGGCGTATTAAAAACGCCATAAATCAATTTGGAGCTCATGGAACCGTACTGTCCCTCGACGAGATTGCTGGCCGATTCTGTGGACAATATGTATGTGTATGTATACAAAAATATAATGTGAATCAGAGTCAGTAGCAACCTTTGGCCCAAAACACTTACGTATCTCATTAAAGTAGAACGGATAGTCGCCCGGTATGGAGCAATTCAGGCGGGACTTGAGGAACGACGTCCAGCGATTGCGAAAACGATGCGGGCCGCCCTTATCCCATTTGCAGACGCGTGCGACGCGCGAATAAATCGCCTGAAATGGCATTAAAGATAAATATGAAAATACACAAGAGGCAAAACAAAAAAAAACATGGCTAAAATGGGAGAATGCAGCTAATCGGCCCATTGATGTGGTTGCAGCCCAAATGGAATGCCAACAAACGATGCCAAATAAACAAATAGCTGGCTAAATCCAAATACCGATAACTGTGTGTTTGCCCAATGCCCAAGTCTGGCAAGCCGGAAGTGTCCTCCACGTACACAGTAAACACAAGCAAAATGGCCGCTCAATATGGTGGCGATTGAACCACTTCCGCTCCTTTATATCTCTCGCAGTGCTCCTCGTTCTATCCGATTATGGCCAATTGTATTTGTTGTAGATAGAAATTGGTCTTTTTCTTTTTGTTGCTGGGTTTTGCCAGCATTTTCAGATTTTATATTTACAACAATTCGATGCGATGCGATGCGATTCGATTCGATTCGATTCGTTTCACTCACCTTGCCACAATTGATGAATTCCACAGCCGTCTCCCGAAAGAAGAAATACACGAAATCTCCCTGCGTGAATGAGCTCACAAAATTTGGCGCTGTGCATGAATAGAAAGACACAGAATGAGTATCAAGTTGAACCAAAATAACAAGCAAAAAGTTATGTCATAATTTTCATTTATAGTTTTTGCTGTAAATATTTTATAGTTCAACATTTTGATGCGCAAATCCGCGCTCAGATTTATGTGCGACTCGTGCCGATAACACAAAAAAAATAGCATTCGATTGGCAGCTCCGCGTATCGAATGCCATCCTTGGGCATTAAATTTATGCGTAGAGCATGATCCATTAAGTTGCGAGGGATTTGAAATGGCACACAAAGGCATAACAAATAATATCTGCAAAGTTCTTCTTGCACACAATTGGGACATTAAGAGTTTGCCAAACTTGATATGGCTATGTAAAATTATAAAATATAAATAAATATATAAACACCTCAGACTTTGTCAGGCTTTAGAGGCTGTTAGACTGTAACATTTACAGTTGCTTGCAACAAGACTTCGCGCAGCTGCATGAAATATTCAGGACTCGCATGTGCTTTATAGGGTGGATTAAGAGGATGTCTCAAAAATAGTAATGGACAGTCAACTGGCAGTCGGACAGGCGATGCTGTTGTGTCTCAGTTCAGTTAATCAACGTCTGCCATATGAAAATCGAAGACGTGAACACTTGAAATATGCAAAAGGCATGTCCATGTCCTGCTTGCAGGATATACTGACAACACAATGAACAACAGCTGAGAGCGGAGCGACTCAATGTGAGTCACAGGAACACAATGAGACTTAATTCAATTCGAGTGGCGAGCATTTCGCTAATATAAAAGGAAAGAAGCACAGCAACAGTAACAACAATCATCATAACAGAGCCGACATTTTCAATTATCAGAAGTGGTTGTGGAAAGCTGCCAAAAGGGGGTGGGGTTGGAGGGGATGAGTATGTCTGGTGGATGGGCCGTGTAAACAACTTACCATTGAGACTGAGGCTATCATATTGTTCCGTCTGTAGAGGCTCACGATAGATAATCGGATCACTGCCACTGAAATCGGCCACTGTGCCTGAATATAATTCGTTGTCTGCAAAAGAAAAGAAAAAAAAAAAACAAAAAAGAAGAGAAATGGAATTGAAAGTTAGATTGTTTAGTTAAGTGGACAAATATTTATAAAGTCTTCAAAAAATAAAATAAAATAAAAACAGCTGACTAACAGCACACATAAATAAGTCACAAACGCAATGTGAAAAGCATTTGATCAATTATGAATTCCTTTTTATGATTATGCCTCAATAAGATTCTTTATAAATATGTAACAATTCAATTGAATTTGCAACAGAAAACAAGAATTTGTGAACTTGAGTCAATTGTTTTGCGATTTTCAAGTTAATTGCAAAGAAATGCGAGAATAAAATCACCACAAATTTTACAGCAGCACATAAATCGCAACTTAAATTTGTTATGCATAATCCAAGTATCATTACTATCCGCTTGTAAGCAGTTTTTCTTTTGGGGCGGGGGGGAGGTCCCCATTATGTAATAAAAATGCGAGCCGAAAATGGCGCCAATAAATGTCAATTACGCGTCGCATTTTATTAAGTGTAAATGATATTTTTTATGCGCAAATTTGTAGCTCACTTTGTTTGCAATGCAATAAACTTTTATTTTGTGTGTCGTGTCGTGTTCGTGGCTCAAACGAAACTTTTATCCCGGGCCAATTTTCGCAACTAAAATATGCAAAAGACATGATACACAAATTACTTATTACTAAGCAATTTGTTTTCTTGGCCCAATAAAAACAATAAAATTTTAATCAATTGTTGCTTTCCGTGTGTGTATTTGTGAGTGTGTGTGTGTGTGTGTGGCATATACTGTCATTACACATACGCATTTCCAAGCAAAATTTAATTAAGTTAAACGAGAAAACACAAAAACAAAAACCAGAGCAGCAGCAACAGCAACAGCAGCAGCGGCAGCAAAACTTTTGACATGTCTCCGGCGACATTGAATTGCCCTGCGGCCGGGAGGAACAGTGAAATCTCCTCCCGCTCCTCTCGCATCCTTCTCCCTCAAGGCAGCGTTCTTTCGCTCCACCCAGACGTAAGATAAATGAGTTTTTTCTGCCCTAACTTTTTACTTGCTGAATTGCCTGCCCGCTGCCCCTGCTGTCTGCTGCCTGCCACTGCCTACTGGCTTTGGCATTGTCAAACTTCAATTCCACGAGTAAAAGAAATATGAAAAAATAAAGTAAAACAACAGCAAATACAAAAGCAGCAGCAGCAACAGCAACAGAAGCAGTAACAACATTAACAGACGAAGCAGCAGCAGCAGCAACAACAAGTTGAACGCTCAGCCGGAAATGCCTAGCAAGCTGGCAACGTTGCCCGTTTATTGTCTGGCCGGAAATGGTTTTGCCTTTGGTTCGAAACAGCAGCCACGCCCCGTCCTCTCGCCCTCGCCTGCCCAACAGACGCTCCCCGCTAACAATCGCTCAGTCTGTGTCCGATGAAGCTCATTGGCAGCCGGCGGCTCAATGACAGAATCGATTGCTGTGTTGGCTCTGTGCGCTGCCTACAGGCGCTTTTGGCCAAAAGTTCGAGAGCAATAGCCGAACACAGCAAGCCAAATGTCGCATTATCAACGTTGCATCTACAGGCAAACGGGAAATGTAAAACAGCCCGAGAAGATTGGAGATGGACGTAAAAAAAAAAAAAAACAAAACAAAAAACACAAAAATCTTGCAGCAGCCCTTAAACATTTTTGCATAAAACGCTGAGAAAGCCGTCGTCAGTAGACATTTCTCTTATTGCTACCCATCAAAAGTAATTTCAGTCGCATCCCCACCCCCATAATATTTTGTGTAATTACCCAAGAACACACTCACACACACAGCACACACAGTGGAATGAAATATAATGCAAACTTTGACAATAATTTATCTTTTTAATTTATCAGCTGTTGGGCAAACAATTCAAACATAAGGAAATAAAAACAACTTTTCTTATTATTTTAAATAGAAATTCGGTTTGCCAAGCATTAGAAAGATGCCAAAGCAACTTGGCTATTTTCGCTGCGCAGATCAACATCCTCGATAGTATAGTGGTTAGTATCCCCGCCTGTCACGCGGGAGACCGGGGTTCAATTCCCCGTCGGGGAGAGATGTTACAATCTTCTTTTTATGTTTTATTATTTTAGTTCTTGTTTTAAATATGTATATACTAATTGTAAAACAAAATGTTGCTACAAATACTGTTCCAATATTTGTTCCCATATATATTTAAATATATAGATATATCAGATCTAACATTTTTTATCGAATGAAAATAAATTTAAAGGCGAAGATAGTATATATATAGTATATATCTGAAGTTATCGAAAAAAATTAATGACGAACCGTCTCCCCGACGGGGAATTGAACCCCGGTCTCCCGCGTGACAGGCGGGGATACTAACCACTATACTATCGAGGACGTTGAACAGAATTTGCCAAAACAGAAACATGTTGACAATACTGCTAAGAATGTCGCATGTTCTTATTAAAAATGTGAATAAATCTTAATTACAATTAGCTTAGCTAAAATGTATTTATATATGAATTGATGTCAACTTATCTAATCTCACATTTCGTCTAAGCTAAAAACATGGAATGTTCTACTCTCAAATTGATCACAGAATGTTCTAATCTTATACGCATTAATTTTTGCACCTGGCTAAAGCGTGAAAATCAATTGTTATATATGTTTGCCAGCTATTATCGCATAATCGAACAATTTTCCATAAGCCTGAACCCATCAAATATCGCTAAGAGCACCGCAAATTGACAACCCATTGTTCCGGGGCATAGATAAAAAAAAAAAATAAATAGCGGATAAGGTAGCTCGCCGGGACACATACATAAATGTCGCTAACTGTTTAACAATTTATGCAAAACTGTGAAAATTACGTAATTATAAAAAAGAAAAAGCTTACATGAATTTAATGCGTGCATTATAATTTCATGTTGATTCGCGTGCACACGCCAGCCAGAGCCGGAGCCAGAGCCAGGGTGGGGAGAGATGAGCGATGGGGGAGAGATGTGAGATGAGGCATTGTGGATTGTAGATTGGAGGGTGTGAAATCTGTGCGGTAAATCGATCAAATTTACAACAGGAGCCCTCACGCACGCACGCAGCCACGTGTATACACGACATGAGTGTGGGTTGGGGTTGGGGGTGGTCTGGTGGTACTCAAAAGTGAATATAAAATTTGAATTACGTGACAAGAACGCGCCGAATGAAAATGTCCAAAGTAAACTAAAAACGCAACACAAATCCAAATGCGACTCGACAGCTTTGTACAACAACAGCAACAACAACAGCAGCAAAAGCAACAGCAACAAAAGCACGTCAGCCACATTAAAAATGTCGTCTGGTACAAATTAATTTTGCCATTCGCCCAGCCGTGCCCAAATCCGCCCACGGCCACCCTCAACAGAGCGGCTGTTTAAATTAAGAGGCTGTAAAAGTCACGCGGTGAGTGAAAAGTAAAAGCGTTCGCCGTTTGCTGGCAAACGAATTTTCCATTCGTGGTGGTGATAAATAACAAATGCTAATTTTCTATCGTGGATACTGCGCCGACCGATTGGCATGGCATGGGCCAGGTGAACCTAACGGCCAATAAAAGCATTTGCTAAATATGCGCAAGGGGCGGATTGGGGGTGCCTTGTGGCGGATTTGCCAAGTCGCCGCTTTAAGCTGTGCTCAGAGCTTAAAGTTTTGTCATTATACTTTTTAGAAAATTGCTAGAAAATGCAAATTTCACAAATTGAAATATGAAACGAGCCATAACAACAATGGGGAGCCAGCCAAAACCAAAGAAAAAAAAAACACCCAATTCTCGTGGCTGAGTAACCCGTAATTATGTCAATAAATGTATTCAAGAGATTTTCATCACATTTCGTACAATTTCCGCTTATTTAAAATATACGCCTGAAATTAAAGGAAAAAAATAAATATAGATATAAAATTCAATTGGGGATTTTATGTTGGCTGGCTTAAAAGTTGCGACAACTGAAGTTAATCGCTTTAAAGCAAGCAAGCAGAGGTTGTGTATTAAATATTTATTATATTATGCACATTTTCATACATTACAATTAAAATAATGTAAAATATTTGTTCAACACGAATGAAAAACATACACAGCAAAAAAAAATTAATATTTATTGTTGTGAACATTTTGAAAGTAGTATAAAAATTGTTGATTCTTTCTGCCTTGACAATACCTGTTACGAATTATGTTAATTTGCACATACTTGAAAGGTTTGCAATGCTTACAAGGAAAGGGAAGTCGGTTCGCCTCAGATATGTTGCAGGGCGTTGAGGTCAAAGGGTAATATGCTAAATTTATGAATCGCAGGTAATTAACAATGGAAATGCAATTTACATCGCGACCAGAGTTGCCATTGTTGTCATTGTTGTTGTTGCTCGCCATTGGCAGCTAACGAGGCGCACAATAAACATGGGCCCACTACCCATTCCCCCCTAACCCTTCTTGTAACTCTTGTCACAACATCGACAGAACATGAAAAGTTCTTGTGTTCTCTCTCTCTCCCTCTCTATGTCTCTTATCTCCCTCACTCTTTAGCAGAGTCTATTGCTATTTCGCTTGTCTCCTTTGGCTTGGATGTAATTGGTTTTTTTTTCGCTTTACCCTGTAGAAAGTGTTTGCTAAAAGCTGTACAATGTAATAAAGAGAATATATTAATTGCTGATTAGCTTCAGCTTTAGACGTCTAAAAATTGAGCATATGAATTATCATTGGTCTTTTGTAGGTATTCTGCTACATTCATACATATGTCATAAGAAAGCCAATTTATATATTTATTCTTTTATATTTATACTTTGTATTTGGAATCATATTATTTGTTTTACACCTACGTGTACATGTGTAGTTTAATTTGGTGCTGGCCACAGGGTATCGTCCCGTCTGGCATTCTCAATTGTAGAAGTTTTGCTTGTTTCTTGTCGCCATTGTTTCGTGCAGCGCCGTTTGCTTTTATTGTTTGCTCATTACCTGGCGACGAGGACAAGCAGGCAGCAGTACCGTT